GGCGGCTGTTTTAAAGATAGTACAAGTAAAGCAACTGACATAGAGTAAACAATAAAGAGTAGCTAATGTTAATACAAGACCACAGCTTTGGAGTCAGGGCCCTAAATTCCAATGTAGCCATGTGACCTTGGGCCATGTAATTTCCCTAAGACTCCATTTCCCCCAAAGTTACAAAAGGTAGCTTTTGTAATAATGCGTACCTTGAAGGGTGGCTACGGTCATGGATTGACACATACCACAGAGCCTGGCCAAAGGGACTCCACACACTTTAGCTTCCATAATAACATTATTATCTTGGTAATGATTATCCGTTACATTCCAGACATGTGCTTCTATGACACAAAGTCGGAGCCTCCACCAGTGTAGACATTTAACTCACCACGGAGAATCAGGAGTCTAATAGGATGACCGCATGAACCAACACTGAGCCGAAAATGGCATCGCCACTCACAGTCTCTGCTCAAAGTCATGGCCTAAGATTCCCTCCCACGTTCTCTAACGGACCCCTTCAAAGAAGAAACTGAGTCACTAAGCGTGCATTTTAGTGCACCTCCGCCCATTTTTGCCCTAAGGTGTTACCTTTTAGCTCCATAGTGGATAAGCTTGATAAGCACCACACAAACAGTGTCAGAGTAGGAAGGAGGCACCCAATACACAGCATCGTTATTCTTCTAAAGGTTCGGATTGATATGCGACAATTTAGAGTTATTGCAGATCTAATTAGCTCACACATTTTATAATACTCTACAGTTTACAAAGTGGTTTGATGTACCTGAACTGCCACAATCCTCGCAGCAATAGTGGAACAGATGGGACATTATGCCCATTTCAGAGAGAGGATACTGAAGTTCAAAGAGCCTCGCCAGTTTTCCAAGATCACACAGCTCTGAAGAGGCAAGATGGAACTAGAATTCTGGCTTCTTGCATCTGGTCCAACGCCTTGCCCAGTACCCACTACAGCACATCCCTGATATTGTTTCCACAGTATTATTCGTGAAGAAATTGGCACAGTTAGTCTCTCACTGGGATCTGGGTGTCCAGAAGTCTGGAGTCCACCCTCCCCCTAACTGATGTAGCAAAGCTTGTATTCTATCTCATCTTCAGAAACCCCAAACTGTCCCCTATTTCAATCCCAACCCTCCACTTTATCAGTGGCAGCACGGCCATCTCCACAACTGGCCCAGGGAGTAATGCCAGGTGATGTGATGGAGACTGTGACCCAGGTGGCAAATGGGGCTGAGTGACGGGCAAGCCTATATTTGGCATCCCTACCTTCAATGACCCATGCCTGTGCCAGGCAACGCTGATAAACAAATGGCCCATCCCTTGGCATCTTGCCAGCATAAACTCACATTCTGGGCTTGGCTACAGTGTTGAGACACAGGAATTCCAAAGCCATGTGGGAGGCTGAAAAGGTTATGTGTGTGAGCCAGGACTTAGATGTGCTTTCAAATCAGTGACTTAATTAGCAGACTGGTGGCTACTTGAGGAACCTGAAATAAAGGGAGTAACAATGACTTGCCTTGGAATAGCTCCTTGATACTGCTTTAAATTCCATCATATTTCACCCAAGTTCAAGGTTACAAGGTCAAGGTCAGAACCTGCACCTTGCAATTCAGGATGCTTTACAACATGCTCTGCCTTTTTGGCCTTGGAGCATTGGAAGACGAAATCAGAGACGTCTTGTGGGTGTAGCTTTTGTAACTACATTTCCAACTTTAAAAATGGAACCCGACACCTGTTTAATAAGATGCTTACGGATTTCTATTCTGGGATTCAAGTCCTAATAGATGTATGTCAGATATTTATGATCACTTAAGAAATAACCTATGCTGGGATCCATTACCCTGTGAGGAAGGTATTATCTGTAATCTTATCCTCACTTTGAAAAGTGTCATGTGTAGGCAATTGCTGAGTGCACAAGCACGCATCTTCCCAGGGGGCGTCTCTGTCTACCATTAACTTGCAAGACATGCCAATGAGATCTTCACCAAAGATCTGAAATAAGAAATGTGACCTAGGGTTGTTTCCATTGAAAATTTCCATCTCATTAATTTCACAAGTGTCACTGCCTTGTTCCTGGTTATATATGACACTTCCTTTCTACTTTATATTATGTTACAACCCAGGATCAAAATGAACATTATCAAAATTATGTGACTCTACTCTTTTCCAGAGAATGTATCATCTTTAATCAGAGAAGGATGAATCTTAGAAAAAGAAACTGGCTATGAAAATACTCCCAAATTTACCTTGTTTGTAAATGAGGAGTTTGGTCAATCTTAAAAATCTATCCCAACTCTAGAGACTTAAAAAAATTTTTTAAAGTCAAAAGTAAACAATTTTGGGTTCTTTTAAGGAATCTTCACATATGCCTTTCTGGGTGTTCTTTTCTCTGCGTGAAATGCCCTTCTCCCTTTTCTCTCTCTGGTGAACTCTTATTCACCCTGCAAAACCCCATTTGGATGGGACATCTGTGATTCTCCAGCAACTCACTGATTTCATCCCTAGTCTAAATGTGGGCACCCACACTCTCCTTTGAGCTTCCATGGTACTCTCCTAAGACTCTTCTCTGGTATAAAGTATTCTGGTTCCTGACTCTCCTCCTCACTAGAATGTGGACTTCTCATTATAAGCAACACAAATTACTCGTCTTTATAAAGTTTTTCTCCCCTTGATCCCTTACCAAGCATCTAATACAGTGCTCGACACATGATAGGTAGGTAGTAAATGCATGGTGAGGGAATGAATGAGTGAATGAATGCAGACTTGATTCCAAGCCTTTCATTTCAAAATCCATTATTCTTTCCTCTATACTAAACAACCTGAAATATAGAAACAGAAGCACTAAATGTTTCCTTAAATTTTTTTTTTATATTTAAAGAGAGCACAAGCTGGGGAGAGGGTAAGAGAGAGAGAATCTTAAGCAGTCTCTCTGCTTAGCACTGAGCCCAAAACAGGGCTCAGTCCCATGCCCCTCGGATCATGATCTGAGTTGAAATCAAGAGTCGGACACTCAAATGACTGAGCCATCTAGATGCCCCTATGTTTCCTTTAAAAAATAAGGTTTTAAGTTCATTTTCTAAATTTACTGAATAAAAAGAACAGCCTGCTTCTATGAGTGGAAGGATAGGGTGCTCCTGGCTAACCTCATGCTATTTTTTTTTAAGTGGGAAAGCTCTTTACAGGGACAATTAGGTAAAGATGTTTCTTTTGGTCGTGGTATCAGGTTCAGTGATCTGTTTGCTATTTACCTTCTGTTTCTTAGCAAAACCAGTCTTTGTTATGAGGCTGGAAGGCACAGTCCAGACCAGTTGACTCGGGAGAGCTTAATGTTAATCGCCAACTATTATAAGAAAGTGACTGGCTTCCCAGAAGGGAAAGAGAAGGTCAGAAGCAGCCACTCGGAATGGCCTGATAGTGCTTGGTGTCAATGACAAGATGACATACCAGTCTTCTTAGAAACCAAAGGATCTCAGAGAAAATTCAGTCCCCTGGAGCTGGCAGGATCTCAGAAATTTCACTATTGATGGCTGACTTGAGTTCTTCTCTGGGGAAACTGAAAACTGGATGCATACTTACACACAGGCACAGAAAGAAAGGGAAAGACATTTTTTGATGCCCCTCCTTGTCCGGTATCTCTTACACAAATGCCACAGGGAGGAGGCAACAATGGCCTGGGGCTGTGACTATCAGCCACTCTTTGCAGCAGAACATCCTGGAAGGGTGCGGGAGGGCACATAGCGTCATCGACTGGCTCCCGTGATCACACCTGGCATGGTGAGCTCTGCCAACTACCTTCCTGCACATCGTGTTATTTGGGTCTCCGAACAACACTGTGAGGCGGCAAGGGAAAGAGTGACCCTCTCCAGAGTCTAGGTGGGAAGACAAATCTAAGAGAATCCTTGTAGTCCATCTCACTGCACGTGGCAAGGTGTGGTAGCCCTGAAAGCAGAAGGCAGGTTTCCAGACTGCTGAGCTAGTGCATAGTGCAGGGCCACTAGAGCTTGTTGCTTGGGTCTAAGGGATAGGAGGAATAAATCTGAATAGGAGCTTTTATATATCATAGATTTTTATCAGCAAGATTAGCTATGGCTTGGGGTCGTCTGGGTGGCTCAGTCGGTTAAGCGTCCGACTTCAGCTCAGGTCATGCTCACAGTTCATGGGTTCGAGCCCCACATCGGGCTCTGTGCTGACAGCTCAGAGCCTAGAGCCTGCTTTGGATTCTCTGTCTCCCTCTTTCTCTGGCCCTCCCTTGCTCATGCTCTGTCTCTGTCTCTGTCTCTCTCTCAAAAATAAACATTAAAAAAAATTTTTAGTGTAAAAAAAAAAAAAGATTAGCTAAGGCTTTTGCTACCCAAGGCATGGTCTCCATCAGTAGCATCAGCACTGCCTGGAGACTGTTAGAAACACAGAATTTCCTGCCTCTCCCACATCTACCAAACCAGCATCTGAATAGTAGCAAGATCTGACATGACTGGAGAAGCACCGAGCTGGATAAGAAGGTAACACCATTTTCATAGATTAGTCCCACTACTGATGGAATAATGTTTAAAACCTTTGATTAAAAAAATACTTAATATTTGTATATATACAAATTTAGTGTAATTTTATATACATAAAATCAGCTCATCTATTCTTTCCAAGAACCCTAGGGGCAGGTGCTACTAAAATTTAACAGACGAGGAAACTGAGTCCTAACGTAGTAAAGTAAAGGGCCATCTGAGTGTCTGAGCTTATTCAATGATGTGGACACAAGTAACTACTTGCTGAATGAATGTGTGGATGAATGAATGAATGAATGAATGAATGAATGAATGAGTGAGTGAGTGAATGAATGAACGAATGAATGAACGAACGAACCACCAAACACACTAGAGCTAGGTCCTGGTCTTGAGAACACAGTACTGCTAGGCGTTGGTTCACTCCTGAGTGTGCCTACATTTAGGGTGTTTGCTTTATATCCTGTTAGACTTGACCTTGGTCAGAAAATCTTCAAGATGCCAAACTGGGGTGGAGGAGCGAAATGTGGCGCTTGCGAAAAGACGGTCTACCACGCGGAAGAAATCCAGTGCAATGGAAGGAGTTTCCACAAGACCTGCTTCCACTGCAGTGAGTTGGGTGAACACCACAAGGGCCCCTCGGCATCCAGAGGGCATTTATTTCAAAGTTCACATTTAGCCACAAATACTGTATGTAGGTGGTCCTCAGGGTCTGGTCCCGGGACCAGCAGCACAGCATCACCTGAGAACTTATTAGAAATATCACCTTGGGGCCCCACCTAAAGGGATGGTGTTCTCCTGAGCACCCTCTCACCAATAACTTGCCCAGCTCAGAGAACTTGCCCAGCTCTCGCCAAAGTCAGAACATGCTGGTCTGCTGCTGCCATCATGGTGAAAAACTTGACCCAGTGGCAACATTTACAGTGTGACTTGGCAAAGAAAGGCAGCTATCGCTTATCTGAAGCCAGCGTGGGTTTGGTTCTGTGTTGCTCCACTGGTCAGTGTCCCTGAAGCCAGCTGCCACTGGTCTTTCCTAAGAAAGAACCTGTGTCAGGTGAGGGGCACCATCTGCCAATTCTGTAATAGTCCAAACGGGAGGAGTTTGGGGCGTGGACACCAGTGGCGTGACAAAGGGAACCTCTACCATCACCTGCTGGACACAGATGCACAGTGTCACAGCTGGGGGGTGGGGTACAAACCCTGGGGTCCACGGGAGTCTGGCTTTGCCTGACCTGTGACTTTGGACAGATCATTTCTCATCTCTAAGCCTGGGTCACAAGAACGTGCAGCAGAACTAGAAGCAGAACCTATACCTTCAGACCTCCAGTCCAGTCCCCTCAACATGACTTCATTCTAGGGTTTCCAACCATTAGTCCAGTTCTAGGAGAACAGTCTTTGACCACTTACCTTCCTTGCCTCCCTCCAGTAGGTCTGGCTTAAGGGCTAGTTTTGCTAGACGTTTGGCACACTCCCTCCCCACATGTTCCCCCCACACCATCCCCATGATTTTAGCCCAGTGGCCACAAGGTGTCACACTGCCCCAAACTGTTTCAAATGGAACTTCAAGGATTGGGCTCCATCTGTTAAAGCGTGGAGATACTTCGTCCTTAAGCTGCCAAAAACAGTCAGGTTTTATCTGCTTCCAGAGTTTCCATTATCTCTTACCTTCCATGGCAAACAGAATTGTCATCGAAGAGTAGGGGTCAGCATGGCTCTGAGGGACTGGGTTGGTGGATTTACTAATAAGCTTTGAGCTCTAGTGATGGGTAATTATTTTTAAGTCATCACACACGTCCCTCAGATTCATCATCATTATTATAATCATCTAGAAGTCATTGCTCAAGGGTTCCTTCCATAACCTTCTAGATTTTGCTCAAAAACAGCTAGAGCTTTTAACAAGAGCAGGCATTGGGAATAACGGAAAGATACTAGAATTAGACTAAAAATGACTAGGATTGCGGTCTGGGCTCTGCTGGGGACTAACTGCATGACCTTGGCCAAGTGATTTCACCTCTGTGAGCCTTAATTCCCCCATCCATAAAATGGAGATGATAGTACCCACCATAACATGTTGTCCCAAGATGGAAACTGGGGTTCTTGATGAGGCCTCTATTCTCCCAACTTCAGTATCTGAAGGAGAACAAGACATGGTAGGAAAGCTTTCCATGGTCAGGGGTGTCTTGTCCTCGGGTAGCAGGTGGATGCCCTATTCAATGGAGCCACGGTAGAAGGGATTTGAGCATTTGCTGGTGTGTCCCTTTTCACCATTTGATATTTCCCTTAGAACTCATGGGCGGGCTGAGGATCTGAGCAGTACATGTTTCAGTAGGAGTGGACAGAAGGGTCCTGCAGAGGAGCACGCTGTTCTAGATTACCATCCCGGGACTTGCCTGTCTACAGGCCAACCTGTAGTTGTCGTAAACAGGCTTCAGAAAGGCAGAGGCTACCTTAGCTTGTCCCCTGGCCAGTGTTCTCCAAACTCCTAGACAAATCTTAATCCTCCTTACCAAGGCTGTCCAAAAGAAATATAATGCAAGCCACATATACAAATTTAACTTTTCTAGTAGGCATGTTTTTTGAAAGGCGTAAAGAAGTGAAAATAATTTCTTTTTTTTTAAATATTTTATTTCTAGGAGAGAGAGGGAGAGGGAGACAGAGTGAGCAGGGGAGGGTCAGAGAGAGGGAGACACAGACTCTGAAATAGGCTCCAGGCTCCGAGCTGGCAGTCAGCACAGAGCCCGACGCGGGGCTCGAACCCACGAACCGCGAGATCATGACCTAAGCAAAAGTCGGACCCTTAACCGACTAAGCCACCCAGGCGCCCCGAAGTGAAATTAATTTCAAAACATTTCATTTAAGTGAATATGCCCAAACATCGTGTTTCTACACGTAATCAATATACAAATTATTAATGGGATATTTTACATTCTTTTTTGTTTGTACTAAGTGTTTGAAATCTTTTTTGTTTGTATTAAGTGTTCTGAATTTTGCACTCAGAACACGTCACATACACGGTGGTCAGGGGCTGCAGCAGTGGCCACCACAGCTCCACTCTGCCTGTGTGTGAGAGCTGGCCAGGGGCCAGGGAGCGACTATAGAGAGGCCCCGGGCATGATGGGGCGTACCCAGTCCTGGAGTGCTGGGGATGAGAACTGGGGCAGGGGGCAGTGGACCTGAGGCCATCTGCAACTTACTGCCATATAATCATGGACAAGTCACTGACTATCATTCACTCATGCATGGAGGCCTTCATTCACTTACTCATCCATTCATTCATTCATTCATTCATTCAACCAATGCTTACAGAGGACTAACTCCAGGCTAGGCCCCATAGTATGTTCTGAGGATAGTAAAATAAGTGTTGCCCTCAAGGAAGTCAGAGTCTAGAACATCAATGTTCTAGAGACGTTTTTCTGGAGACTGGAAGCTGATAGCAACAAGAAGGTTGGAGAAAGGTATATGTTATATGCCCAAATAGAAGGCATTTTTCTCCAAAATTTATTTCTCATAAAAAGAGTTTGCCTTGTGTTTAAAGCCTTATAAAGTATCTTATGCTATAGGACAGTCTCTCAGCTTTTCTTGCTTTTTACAGAGAATTTTTAACACACACGATGTTGACTTAATTGTTTAATGTATTTACTTACGTTTGTTTTGCGTCCACACAACCACCAACCCCTCATCTACAACCTTGTCTTCCCCCACTCTCTTATTCAATTCTATGATGTTTTTACATAAAATGCTATTTGAGGAAAGCATATTACCCTGAAACAACCTCATTCAATGGTTGACTGCTTATAAAGGTCACTTGGCCAAAAACAAAAAAACAAAGGAGGCAAATAAACTGAATGCACGAGTCTTACCTGTCTTTGGGCGATGGCCTCACTATTACAAGCGGTGAATAAATACCACCATAAACAACCTTTAAGGATCAACCTTTACAGCGCAGTAACAGCGAGTTGTTAAGTTGTGGAAATCCTACATATTTTTTTTAAAGCTGCCCAGTTGTTATGCTAATAGGAATTTCTAGTTGAGCTACAATTTCCAGGTGACAGCCTGGGCTCAGGTACAACCAGGGCTGACTCTCAAAGACCACACAGGAATGGTAAGCTTGCAGAGCTGAGTCACTGCCTCAGAAAGACACCGGTGATAAGGAAATGCTGATGGTGAGGATGCAGAGGAAGAATCTGGATACTGTTTTTTCCTGAATTTGTGTGAGATTAGAAAAAAGTAACCTCTCCGAATCCATATATTATTGATCTCTATTATTAAATTAAATATTATAAGTAGGTAGTTAACACTATCATTTGCATCCTTAAAAGTTTATTTTTTTGCAAATTGGCAAAAAAACCCCACTTTTTAAATGTATCTTCTTTTTGGAAAAATGGGAGCTTGCCTTATATACTTCATATCATGGGGGACACTTTATATTAGGTAATATATAGTGACTGGGGACTTCAGCCAGTAAAAGCCTCAGGGTCTATGAGACAGGTCTACCTCTTCACCACCCCCAACCCCCCCCCCCCCATCCCGCTTCCGGACCTGGATCAAAAGTAGCCTCAGTGGTAATTGTCCCCTTGAATATCACAGTGCTCCTCAAAGGCCACGGTAAGTACAGAAACTGCTCATTCCCGATTCTGATATTATTAAGAAAAAAATAAGTTCATCCCCTGTCTCGGTGCCTTATCCCCTCCTCACCCCCACAAGCACACGCACACACTTCCCTGATGTCACGTGAGGTTACCCACTCAGGAATTTAGGCTGCTCGGATTCAGGGACAATATTCTTAACTAGCCCAAGCCACACGCCTGGTTCCGATACTGGCCTCCCCTTCTTTCTAGCTGGTTCCACTGGACACATTATGTCGCTTCTCTGTTCCCCAGTTTCCTCATCTGTGAAATCAGGGCTGCTTTGGAATCCATGGTTCAAGGTGCTCTGGTGAGGAATGGAAGTTGTGCTCTTGGCCAGAGGGCCCCTCTTGCTGGGTCCCTTGGCCCTGAGCATGGAGGGAAAGGGGAAAGAGCCTCGGCCCCAGCCCCCTGACTGTCCCTTCCTCGGCAGTGGCCTGCAGGAAGGCTCTCGACAGCACCACGGTCGCAGCTCATGAGTCGGAGATCTACTGTAAGGTCTGCTATGGGCGCAGGTATGGCCCCAAGGGGATCGGGTACGGACAAGGCGCCGGCTGCCTCAGCACGGACACAGGCGAACACCTGGGCCTCCAGTTCCAACAGTGAGTGACACCGCTTCTCCCAGCCCAGTAGAGCCCCAGCTATCAGGACAGTTCATTTCGTTCCCATAGCAACGTTTTCTGGAAGTGGGAGAATGGACTCCATTGTTGACTGGCTAACAATCAGAATACTCGGTCTGACCAAGTTTTAACAATGTGTCATCTCTCCGAAGACTCTCTTCAAATTATCTTCCTTTCTAAAGGGCAATTACTTTTACACCATGGCTCTTGGTTTGCATGTTAAGAGAAATCCTGGAAAGTACAGATGTTCCATTGTTTGACCTTTGCTAAACTGCATGGAGTCTCTTCTCTTCCCCTTCGGGCATTTCTGTGTAAATCACATAAATATGGCAGGAAAGCAACGGCCATTCTCTGCGTGCTCATCACTAAAAGACTTCTTCCCTTAGGGTTGTAAGATGACTAATATCCACATCACAGGCAGGGGGGTCTGCAGGGAGGGTAGTGTGCCTCAGGAGTAAACAATCAATTATGACTGTTCTGTGGGTCTCCCTTGTTGACAATCCAGCACTGAGGATCCCCCCCAATATTATCAAAGGAAGCTGCGATATCACACTGTCCAACCTCCATCTATCAGGCTGTTCTAACGTCTCGTTGATCACGCTGAGTTCCAGCCTGGAACTGAGTACAGACTGACAGCCACTGGCACGCAGCTGCTGTCTGGCCAGCTGGTACCCGGACTCAGCTCTGCAGTGGGACTAGACAGAAAGGCCTACCCCCACTGAGGCAGTGGCCCATGGAGGGCCTCCCCCAGAGAGCAGCAGTTAGACCATCTGAAGAGTCATCTGGCCCCTTCAGTAGCCCATGGTAGAGCCTGGGAAAATGCAGGCATGTAGGAGTTGTTGTTTACATTTTTCTCATTACTTAATCCCAACTGGACACCACTTAATGAAGAAAGATGACACCAACCCCATTCTCTGCCGCACATTGTCCGAAGCTCACTCTTCTCCGCTAGGGCTTTTTTGTAATACTGCACAAAGAGAAACAAGAGTCTGCAGACCTGGGTTTCGCCCCAGCTCCGATAACGAGCTGCCTAACCTTGGGCAGTTACCCCTCATACCTTCACCCTCTTCCAACTAGACCTGCCTACCCTAGAAGGTATGGCGAGATGCAAGTGATAAATGCACAAGTAAACGCCAAAAGACACAGAAGCAAGGGGGTGGGTTACTGTGCTTCCATCTTGGACGTTGCTCACATGGAGACAGGTGACCTTTGGATGCAGGATGGCAACATGAACCGTGACAGGGAATGCATCAGTTTAATGGACCATGGTTTGTTTGCCATCAACTGTCAGGACCCCATCTTGCTCTATAATGTTTCCACAACTCACTCCATAAAGCAGACCAGTGGGCTTCAAGGTGGTACAGAAATATGTAAACAGTAGCAGCAATTATAACATGACAATAGAAGCAAACACACAGGGAATGCTAGCCAAGTGTTTTATAACAGAAAGGACAGATGTAAGCCAATTAGAGCTAGGCTTGTTTCTCCTTGCTAAATGCCAGGAGACACTCCGACTTCTAAGTGCTTTGCTCAGGTCCCCTCGTTAAACCCTCTCAGCAACCCTGAGGAAGGCACCATGATTAGCCCCGTTTTCCAGAGGAGGAGTCTGAGGCACAGACAAGTTAAATAACTTGCTTAAGGTCCCACAGCTAAGTACTCTTTTCCCACAAGGTCTAAAGGTTTCATTCATGTTGTCTATCTCGACCAGGTCCCCAAAGCCAGCACGCTCAGCCACCACCAGCAACCCTTCCAAGTTCACCGCAAAGTTCGGAGAGTCCGAGAAGTGCCCTCGATGCGGAAAGTCAGTCTATGCTGCTGAGAAGGTGATGGGAGGTGGCAAGGTAAGGAGCCAAATGGGGCTTGCTCACGTGCAGCACGTCAGTCAGGAGGGCTAAGAGGGGAAAGCAGGAGCTGTGAGCAGGTGGGAGCCAGACCTTCGTTCTCCTCTGCTCCGCGGAGCTGCGTTAGGAGCCACCCATCCTCACCCACTTTCCTGGGCTGTGAGGGTCACTCTGCAGAGCCCCTGAAAACTAGAACTGGTGAAATTCGATACAACAAGCCTAAGCCCACTAGGTGGGAGGCACCCAGCTAGAGCTCTGGAGATACAAAGTTGTACAAGCCCCTTGCCCTTCGGTGTCCACACTCCTTCCAGAGCTATGAGCCCTGCGAGCTCATCACCACCGCATAACTCAATCTGCCGCTGGCATCACCCCTGATGGATAGAACAGACACCTCACAGCAGCAAGAAGCGTCCTTGCTCACAAGCGTCCTGGCAATCGGAGGAGTCATCCAGTGTCCAGGACAGTTATGCACACTGCCTCTGCAAGCTCTGGTTTCAGGGGATTCACCAAAGGGTTTGGGCCTGAAGGAGGGGAAAAAAGAGGTTCATACTAAAGCAGTTCAGGGTAGATGGAAAGAAGAGCCATGGAGAGTGTCTGACTTCAAATATGAAGCCAGTCTCCACTCCAAGACTGGCCACTTAAAGATGGAGGACCCCGAGGCCATGCCTGGTGGACATGCAGGTGTGCAGGAGGCCATCTTCCAGTGATCCAGGCCACGCAACTCTCTTCCAGCAGAAATATACAGAGATCAAGTGAATAGAATTACCTGTCTATTTGCCTCATTTCTTCACTTCTTTTCTTCCTTAACTTTCTATTCAATGTAAATGTTACCCACTGCCCCCTCTCTATTCCTTGATCTTCTAGAAGGGAATAGCCCTTTTCTATTTAGTCTGTTCTGAAGGAACACATATGGTAATCATTTTGATAAATATATTTTTAGGGGTTCTGAGAATTGCTGGCCGCTCCCATCTCATTTTCTCCAAATCCCTGGGAAAATTGTTCTGGGGCCTATTACACACGCCAACGGTTTGGACTGTGGCACTCCTCTATATGCTGCTGGCCAGGGGGTTTCACACGGACACAGAATAGGCTGTCCCCGCCCCCCCGCTAATGTAACTCTCCTGCTCTCGTGCACCCATCAGCCTTGGCACAAGACCTGCTTTCGCTGCGCCATCTGTGGGAAGAGTCTAGAGTCCACGAATGTCACTGACAAAGATGGGGAACTTTACTGCAAAGGTGAGCGGGGACTCCCTGGAGATGTTTTCCCAGGGAGGGTCCTTGGAGGGTAAGCTGTGTGCAGCCGGGAGGCTTGTGTCTGCCAGGGGGCATGGCTTCTCAGCCTGAGCGGGGTCTGAGCTCTCAGGATGGGGAGGAAAACCACCCACCTAAGGGCAAGATGACTCCTCCCTGCCCCAGCTCTGGTCCCCTCCGTTGGAGCATGTGGGGGGACCGGATCCTTGCAGACGCTCAGTGGTTCGGGGCAGCTGGGTGCCTGGGGGCAGAGAGGATGAGGAGGAAACAGAGCCCTGACTCAGGTCCTAGAAGAGGCCACAGGCCTGGGTAAACAGTATCACAGTCCCTTCTGAAAATCCAAACACCTCTATCTCCCTGGGTGCTGGTTCGGGGTGACTAGGGAAGGATGAACTCTCTTTAGTTTATTAGATTTAAATAATAGATTATTAGTTTAGAGAGTTTGACCTCTCCTTAGTTTATTGAGATCTATTTCCTTCCTTCCTTCCCTCCCTCCTCTCTCTGCTTTCCCTCCTTCCTCCCTCACTCCACGCCCCCTTCTCTCCCTCCTTCCTTCCTGACATTTGTTTCTAATGTTGCATTATCACCCAGTGATCACAGGGACAGAACTGACAACGAATTTTCCTTCTGGCCCTCACGGCCCTGCCCCCAGATGCCTCCACAATCCCTTTGTCTTGTGGAGACGTAGAAGGGGTTGGCTCTTCTCCGATGCTATGCAAAGGAAGGGATGCATCAGGGCCAAGGCCAACGTGTCCTCCATTCTCCTAGGCCTACTGTTTCTCAGTGGGGTCCTCCCACCCTGTCACGTAATGATGGTGTCTCAAGGTCTCCAAGCGTGTGTGTTGGAATGGAGGGGAGCAATGGGAGAGGGGAAGAGGGAGGACATTACTAACAAGACTGCAGGGTGCCCCAACTTTGCTCCCTCGGTGAGACAGAATGCGAACGAACGCTCTACCCAACGGGGGGGGGGGGGTGCCTCCTCCGGCCAGTGGAGGACACACAGGGTCCTCAGCATACCCAGGCTAAAACCCCTAAAATGTTGCTGCAGCCAGCAGAGAGATGAGCACGCAGACAAAGAATTGCATGGCCAAGTGAAAAAAAGCTCTAACAGTAGCACACAAGGAGGGAAGTGACCCGCTTGGGGCGTTAGGGAAGGCTTCTCTGAAGATGAGTCCCCGGAGGGTCTTGAAGGGTGACTGTGGGTTTTTGTGGGGGCACGCCAGGGACCGCGAGTGGTTCCGCATGCCCGCAGTGTCAGGAGGGACGCAGCAGCAGGAGGGGACGAGCCTGGGCAGGCAATCATGGCCCCAATCGTGTTGACTCACACGAGAAAACGTCTGTGAACACTTCGGCCTAAGTGCCCAGAAGTGTGAACAATGTTGACCGGCGGATCTAAATTAAATATAGTTCAATATACTTAAAAGTTAACTTACGAATACATTTATCACAAGGACGTCACTCATGGGTGAAAAACTGTGTCCAGGCACAGGGAAGTGCAAACATGGTCTAACCAACCCCTTCTCTCTCCCCTCTCCTCCCTCTCGTTCAGTTTGCTATGCCAAAAACTTTGGCCCTACGGGTATTGGGTTTGGAGGCCTAACACATCAGGTGGAGAAGAAAGAGTGAAGAGTGTGACATACTTCCACGGGCCTCAAGCATTTCCATGTAACCCTGCCAGGCGGAAACTCTCCCCCGAACATCCTCTCGTTGAGGTCGGGCAGTATTTCTCCTCAGAAGCGATTGTAGTCTTTACCCAAAGTTAGAAGACACCTTTGGAAGAAAGCATTAAAAGTCTAACCTATAACAAATGCGTTGTTACATACCCAGGGTGGGAGAGGCAATAAATAAATATTTTAGCGGTACCTTGTGTGTCTCTGGCTCTTTCCTTTCAAATAGAGGGAGATTTTCAGAAAAGAGAGAGGTGTTTCTAAAAACTCACTGCAAACAATGTAATGAATCTTGATGTCAACTGAGGAAGGCCTGAGGAGGAGGAACACAAGGCAAAGGGAAGCAGGCTTCCAGAACCTGTCCATTGAGCTTCTTACTCCTTACCAACAGAGAAGGAGACGGGCTTCCAGAGGAAGCAGGCGACAGGAGAGCAAATTCTAGAAGGAAAATCAAAACTAAGAAAACTGCTGAAGAGGCGGTCCTTTTGTCCTATTGTCGGCTTTGCAATCTCACACCTCTCGTGAAAACCCAGAAATGGCAACAAAATGTGGAGTGGGCTTCCGTGTTATACACAACGGGAGGAGGATTTTCTTTGATTCTGGGACAATTCCCTAGGGTTTGGCAATTTTCTGAAAACCTCTCCTACGTCAAATCGCCGGCCTTGCTGATGAAATGCAGCCAATTAAAAATATCTCTGTGCCTCCTCAGCAAGTTTTCAGCGGCCCGACTGTGCGTATTTTCTCGGGCCTCCGCTTTTAACCACCACCTCATTTCTCCCACCACCGTGCAATTCTGAATGATTTGGAGGAAACGAGCGCAAAAGAAAAGCTAGACTAAACCATGGGTTTATCTACACTCCAAGTCCCAGGAAGCCTTCCTTTAAAAGGAGCACTAATTCAGGGTTGCTCATGTACCGTCATAGACAAAGCCCTGCACTGACTTTATTATTTATTTACTAGTTTTTGGATGCTTCAGAAGCAATTACGTCTCATCATTTTCTCTATTTGGTTGGCATGGCTCAGAGAAACAAAGGGTGGGGGGTGGCTGGCAGAGGCTGTGCCCCGTTCCACTTTCAAAGAGATAATGTTTTACATGCCCAGAGACCCTTGCAGGGGTCATTGAGCCGTTGAGTTCCACCAAAAGGACTCGAGGGTGGAAACAGTATACATTTTACGTTCTTGGGGGAAGGTAGCAAAGGGCATTTATTTTTCCCTTGTAAGCTTCTGGCCAGAGGTGTATGGAGAGCCCATCAAAGCCAGTCAATCAATAACACCAGGCATAAACTGAATTAACTAAATCAAGTCCCCTTTAACCTGCATGGACTTTAGAAGCAATATAGTACCGGGCCTCAGCTAGGAAGTCCGTCCACTAGGGACCTCCGGGCTTGCAGAGGGCTGACTCACACGTGAAGTGAGCACCGCGCAGGGCGGCCTGCTCCTCCACCACTCTCCTGGTTACCAGCCACCTTGGAGACGGAGCTAAAATCTTGAGTCTTCCTTAGCTTTGCCCTCTCCCGCACCCTCCCTTGCCGCACTCCCCAAGCCTCCGTGATTCTGACTTCTCTAAGTCTCTAGAATACACCCCTCCATACCTACCCTGTGGTACATGTATTAGTCAGTTAGGGCTTCCATAACAAAGCACCAAGGGCCGGTGGCTCAAACAATGGAAATTACATTTTCACACTTCCAGCGGCTAGAAGTCTGAGATCAAGGGGTCAGCAGAGTTGGTTTCTTTTCTTTTTTTTCTTTTTTTTTTTTTTTATGTTTTATTTATTTCTGAGAGAGAGAAACTCAGCATGAGTAGGGGAGGGTCAGAGAGAGAGGGAGACACAGAATCAGAAGCAGGCTCCAGGCTCTGAGCTAGCTGTCGGCACAGAGCCTGCCGCGGGGCTCGAACCCATAAACCGTGAGATCATGACCTGAGCCAAAGTTGGACACTTAACCGACTGAGCCACCCAGGCGCCCCAGCAGAGTTGGTTTCTGAGGCCTCTCTCCTTGGCTTGTATATGGCCGCCTTCTCCCTGTCATCACATGGCCCTCCCTCTGTGCATGTCTGTGTCCTAATTTCCTCTTATAAGGACACCATTCATGTTGGATTAGGAAGCCTGAAAGGCCTCATTTAACTAATTACCTTTGTAAAGACCCCATCTCCGAACACAATAATGTTCTGAGGTTCTGGGGGTTAGGACTTCAACATATAAATGTGGGGGCAAGAGGGAGGACACGGTTCAGCCCATAACAGTATGTCACATAAGGACTTTCACAAGTTGGCCTCGGACTTAACCTTCAACTTAGCTTTAGACCCTCTCTTCCAGATGAGCTCCAGCTACACTCAAAGGCTTTCCAAATATGCCAAGTACCCGACCCCATCATGCTTTTGCTAATGCTGCTCGTTTTGCCTAAAACATCCAGAAGAGGGAAGCCCCTCCATTTTCACCACCTAACCCAACTTCTTAGCCTGGCGAACTCCTAGAATCAAGTCACGGGTCAAGTGCCATCTTTTCTGCAGAATCTTTCCCAAATTTCCTGCACAGAATTAATCCACCTCTGTGTTCCCACAGCTGATACATAATTGGCAAAGCACTGCACTCATTACAGTGAAATTTTGAATTCCCATCTGCTTCCTTGTTAGACTGCGACATGCCTGTATTCACAGTGCTCGACAAACAGTAGGCACGCACGAAACATGTGTTGAGGGAGTGAAGTGGGAGAGTGTAGGCTGGACTAAATGCACATTCTGCTAGAAAATAAAAGGAGTGATTATTATATGTGGAGCGAAGGAGTTTAGGAATGAAAAAACAAAGCAAAACCAAGAAAGGGCCTTATTGTGGTTTAGCGGGCGTTTTGTTTCCCCTCTGCTTCCTGAACACTGTCCTACTATATCTTCCGGCTCCTCGACCACTGATTGGGACACGGGACTGAGTTTGGCCGATGGAGGCCTGGTCCCCAAGACATGCAGGAGAGTCCCCATTCTCTTTCCACACCTGTGGATTCAGAAGGGCCAGGGGACACTGAGGCCCTGGAAATGGTGGAACCACTAGCTGGGAGGGAGCTCGGGTCCCTGCACGGAAGAGTATCTGCAAACAGCTACACGGACTGTCACGAGAGGGGGAAATAGTCCTTATGCTGTGTTAAGCCAGTGAGGTTGGGGCGGGGGGTTATTAAGCCCCGTTGACTGTTATTAACCCCCGTGACTACAATACCCCCGGCTGTAATACCAGCTGTGCTGTAGCCAAGATTGCCCACTTCTCACTGTTCAGTGCCCAGCCAGTCTGTTAAGTCACCGGGGGCATCACAGAGGAACCGTCACGTCTCCGTGGCCCCTGCAGACAAGCCCAAACCTGTGCCTTCTCCCCTCTCCTTTCAAAGCCAAACTAAGACTCTGCTCCACGTAGTCCTTACTGCCTGCGCATTTGGCTCTCAGGTGCCCTCCCAGCTGCCCAGCCCACGCCGGCCGCCACTGCTCTGCAGAGCCCACCGGAAACTTCCAGACCGCAAGCCCCGTCTTTCCTCAATTGTTCTTCTCAACCTCTCCTCAGCTCCTGACAAGTGACTCCTCCCTCTTCGAAATGAATTCTTCTTGAATTCTATGCCACTGTGCTCTCGTTGATTATCCCCGACTCCTCCCAGTGGCCTCCTCCTCTTCTCCAGCTCCCCAAATCCATGTTCTGGAAGGCTGTGTTCCTGTCCTTAGCACAGAGCTGATAAATGCAGGAAGCAGCCACGAGTGGGCCGGGGAAAACAAAGAAATGGGGCACCCTAATTTAGAGGCCTCGAGGACAGGTTTCTCTCCCCCACCCCTATACCTTTTGTTTCTTCGCATTGGTTGTCAACTTTGGTCTCTTTTTAGAATTGATCTTACCATTTCAGGAGGGCAACTAGGGGAGTTGGAAAATGGAAAGGGTTCCATTTTCATCTCCGTTTTCTCCCTCTCTCCTGCGACAACCTCATCCATCCGTGCTCATGACTTCCATTCATGCCCTGGTCTCTTTACAGCTGTCTTCTAGACTTTTCCATTGCATACCCTGCAATGCCTCAAACTCAGTAGGCCCCAACCACCAGACTCATCACCTAGTCTGCCCCACACAGTTTTTCTTACTTTTCAGAAGAGCACTGCCACCCGCTCATTCACTGGGTTCAAAGTCATCCTCGACTCTCCCTTCTCTTCCCCTTACATTCAGTCAGTCATCTGGGCCTTCATTACATCTTGCCTGGACCATTATACAAGGCTTGTCTCTAATGTTCTATATTCGTCAGAGCCTGGTCAGAAAAACAGTTCGTGTTTTGTTTGAATAGAGAGAAAATAATAGAATTGATCAAGCAGGTGCTAATCTTTTTCAGAAAGTAAAGAGGAACACCCTGCCGTAGCACAGAAGTAAGAACTGCAGGAAGCAGTCACTAAGTGTTGGGCTGGGGAAGACAAAGAGAAGAGATTGCCCAGGACAGGTTGCCCAGGGCCAGCAGTCAGACCTCTGAGCAGCCAGCCCTGCCTGGTGACTGCTGGGGCTTCTAAGGGAGGCCATGGAGGTGGCTGGGGAACAGCAGGAGGAAAGCTAGACATGGTTCCAATTGTCATCATCAGGGTTCAAGGCCACTGTAGGAACAACACTGAGAGGAACAGCTGGCAAGAAAAGTGGAGTTAAGTGTCTCCTCCCTTCCTCCTCTATCTGTAAAACTTACGGAAAATCAGCTGACCAGGAAATTGTAGTTTTTAGAATGCTAGTCCCAGAACATACAACACAGGGTATGGAAAGGTGAATTTGGCACATTTCCTTACTTCTAGCCAATTTTCCAAAGATTTCTGAATTAATAGCATTTACTGAGCACTTATTATGTGTCAAGTATAATTCTAAGCACTTTATATGTTATTAACATATTTAATCCTCATAACAACATTTGGGATATATACTATCATTATCCACTTGATAAAAATGAGGAAGCGGAAGCATTATATAGGGAAGTCATTTGTTCAGAGGTAAAAGTCACTTATAATTGGCATATCCAGGATTCAAAGCCAGGGTGCCTAGCTATAAAACACTGACTCTCAAACTTTTAATTTTTTTAAAGTTATTTTTTTAATGTTTTATTTATTTCTGAGAGAGAGAGAGAGACAGCGTGAGCAGGGGAGGGTCAGAGAGAGAGGGAGACACAGAATTCGAAGCAGGCTCCAGGCTCTGAGCTAGCTGTCAGCACAGAGCCTCATGCGGGGCTCGAACCCACGAACCGTGTGACCATGACCTGAGCCGAAGTCGGACGCTTAACTGACTGAGCCACCCAGGCGCCCCTCAAAACTTTTAATTTTTTTAAACTTTCACACCAACATGTAGCTGAGGAAAAAGTCACAGTCAGATGGTAAGGGTAAGAGTCCTTAAGTAAATGATTCTCAAACTGTAGTATGTGCATGTAAGAACCGTTTGGGGAACCTGATACAAACTCAGATTCTAAGACTCACTTTTCAGAGAATAATCTGGAAAATCTGAGAAGAGGAATTTGAATTTTAAACAAGTGATCCTTGGGCACCACCCCATCACCACTGCAGGCCCATTATTCTGATGCAAATGGTCTATGGACCACAATTTGAGAATACTCACTTGACAGGGTTTGGTGAGAACAGACAGGAAGACAGAACTTAAAAAAATCCTTGTGTTCTCCCAGTTGAGAATCAGTCCTCAGAAACAACTCTGATCACATCATGTGCTGCTTAAAATCCCCTCAATTTGTTCAACAAACTCATGCAACAGATTAATTCAAATATTCATGAAACACATACTATGTGCTAGGCAATATTCTAGGTACCTGGGATGCATCAGTGAACAAAACAAAAATCTCTCAGGGACCTGCTATCCTAATGGGTTGGGGAAGGAGGCAGTAATGCAGCAGACATATTACATAATACGTTAAAAGGCAGTAAGTGCTAGGGAAAAAATGCAGAGTAGGGTAAAGAGGAGGAATAGGTCAAGGAAAAAATGTTCCACCTTTCCAGACGTTGGTGAGCATAGGCCTCATTGAGAAGTTGGCATTTGGAAAAAAGCTCAGAGAAAAGGCATTTAGCCCCATGGATATCTGGGGAAAGAACATGTCAGGCAGGGAACAGCAGGGAAAGGCTTGAGAAAGAAGCACGCCTAGCAGGTGGATAGGCATCAGCAAGAGGGAAAGCAGAAGTGGTCATACCCTGCCAGGCCTTGCAGGCCACTGGTGAACTCAAGAGCCACTGGAGGGTTCTAAGCAGAGAAGCAATAAGATTCAATTTGTCTTTTATAAGGATCACTCTGGCTGCTTATAGCAGGGTAAGGGTGGAAGCAGGGAGACCAAATAAGGAGGCCATAGTAATCCAGGCAAGAGGTGATGGTAACTCAGAACTATAGCAGCAATGGTGGCCAGAAGCATTCAATTCTGGATGCATTCTCAAGATGGAGTCCACAGGATTTCTCAAAGAAATCTCAATCTGGTGTATTACGAGAGAAAAAGAATCATCAAGAAACAATTCTAAAGTTTTGACATTGGGTAATTGAAAGGATGGAGTTCCAATCAACTGATATGGAGAAGACTGAGGGTAGGGAACAGCGTTGTTTACTTTTTATTTATTTTATCTTCAAAAAAATTTTTTTAATGTTTACTTATTTCTGAGAGTGAGAGGGAGCGAGCGCATGAGCAGGAGAGGTGCACAAAGAGAGAGGGAGACACAGAATCTGAAACAGGCTCCAGGCCCCGAGCTGTCAGCACAGAGCCTGACACGGGACTCGAACCCGTAAACTGCAAGATCAAGACCTGAGCCAAAAAGTCTGACACTTAACCGACTGAGCCACCCAGGTGCCCCTATTTTATCTTTAAATATACTATATGTTTTATTTAATTCTTTATTTTTTATTTGTGAGAGTGAGGGTAGGATGGAAATTAGAAGTTCAGTTTCAACTTTGGACATGTTAAGATGTCTATTAGACATTTATTTAAGAGGATAGAGTTGGAGAAAGAGTCTGAACTAGAGTTAAAAATCTGGGGCATTTTGGCACACGGATCGTATACACAATCACACAACTAGATGAGATTATCAAGGAAGAAGTAAGTTTAGATAAAGGACAGGAAGTTCAAGAACTGGCCACTGAGACATTCCAACATTAAACGGCAGGGCATGGAAAACAGCAAAGGAGACTTGGAGATCTCAAGAGCAACCGGTGGGATTAAAAGGAAACTCAGGGGTGCTGTCTCGTGAAGGCCACGGGAGGAGTGTATTTGGGAAGACGGAGTGGTCACTGTCAAGTGCGGCTGAGCAGTTTCCACAGAGGGCAGGGGTGAAAGCCTGACTGCTTAAGTGAGTTTAAGAGGAGGATGGGCAGACGGGAATTGGAGATGCCCGCTATCCACAACCTTTTCAAGGACTTTTTACTGACAAATGAGTAAAGAAACAGCCCCTATTGCTCACTTAAAAACATTCAAGGCCCCTGGTGATGGATTTCCAATCAGCCATTCCAATTTACTACCCAAACCCCCCTTTCAAACACCCTAAAGACCCAGCTGTCAAGGTTCTAACTATACTTCAGACTCTCCCATTGTCTGCACTCGGCGGGTTCTCTACATGAGAATGCCTTTCACTTCCAACTCTGTATTTCCAAAGTAAATTGAAAGGCCCTTTCTAATGCCTTATTGTCTATTAACACTTCTCTTATCACTTCTAGTGAGGCTCTCTCCAACCTCTAAACTCTAACAATATTTTGTCTGTGCTTTTCTTATGGCTTTTAATATTTTCTATGTTATACTATAATTTCATTCATCTTACCTTTCCTTCTAGATTGCAAGCTCTGTGATTAGTATGCCCAATCAAATTTTTTATGGCCTAAAAGATCTATCATGGCGCTCAATAAATATCTGTGGAATAATTTAAAAATTAATGAAATGTGCTTTCCTTGTCATATATCACTTAGAAGCACTGGCATACAGCCGTTTGGAAGGTATGAGGCGAGGAATTTGAATTTTAAACAAGTAAGCCCCTGCTCCATCCCTATAATTCTGATTAAATGGTGTATGGACCACAATTTGAGAATATATACTTGGTAAAGTTTGAAGAGATAGGGAAAGGCTACAGCTTGAGAAAGTCCTTCTGTCCCCCCACTGAGAATCAGAGTCTTCAAACAATTACAATCATATCATATCCTGCTTAAAAACCCTTCATTCAACAAATTAAAACATTTATTGAACACACATGTGTCTGATAATATTAAGGTGACCAGAACTCTAGAGTGGTTACCCCCCTTAGTATCTAAGTGACCTTGGAGAAGACACAAACTTCTTAAGGTGTTAGTTTCCTTATCTGCAAAGGCTCTGTGCTCTGTAGAAAAAAGGAGAAAGGATCCTTGAAAAACTGAAAGGTCAGTGTAGCTAGTACAAAGCGTGGTCCAGAGCAAGACTGGGAAACAAAAATAAGGTTATATTATTCAAGGTCTTGTAGGTCATGATGAGAAGTTCAGCCTTTACCCCAAGAGCAAGGGGAGCCTTAAGGAAGGGTTTTCAGTAGGAAGGAGCCATGCCCAGGGGCATTTATATAAAACACCAAGAGTTACAGTGGAATTTGTTTTTCCTCCAGAACAAGGGAAATTAGCAATTACAATCACATTAGGCCAATATTTTGAGGGTATTAAGTAAAACCAGTAATTAATCTTGAAGTCCTCCTCTGTTCAATCTTCTAAGTAAGATGGAAAATTAAATCTTGCTTACTGGTGTTAATAGTGAGCTCAACTCATTCTTGGAACTGTGAACCCATTTCTTTATGCCCTACAGACACCTTTTCTCAATTTAAGATTCTGAAAAAGTTAAGTGTCAGAAATGAAATCTCAACTACAAAAAAAAAAATTTATTAAGTGTGAAAGCAAAACAGGTACTTCTATTTAAATATTTTTTACATATTTATAGGTAAAACAAATAATTTATCAAAAATTACAAGTTTAAAGAATAGTACTATTTTGAAACAACCAATAAAGTATTCAAAATACTACATTTTATCCATAATTCGTGAATATTATCGCAAAAGAAAAGTAACTTGTATTTTCCTGTGAAAAATATAAAAGTTTTTTCAGATGTCTGCCAGGATTGTTCAGGAACAGTCCATCTTGCTAAATCTAAAAGTGTAGTGCCTTTCTGGAGAACTTCTGTTTTTACCAAATAGCTTTACAAACCACCTGCGTTTTCTGTGGGGCTTGGGTGAACTCTTAACCTTCACTCACTTGTAGACCAGAGGACATCAACAGAAACACAATCAGATCAGAGTGAGAGTCTGGGGTCGCTTTTCTTCATACGGAGCGAAGGACTTTCTCCTTGGCTGGGTGGAAGACCATGGTGTACTGGGTCGTCCAGTCTACCGCACAGGGCTTCACCAAGCCAAAGCAGCCACACTTAAAGAAATCTGCAAGGTTCTGTGTGAACCCAAGGCTGCCAAGGAAGGAAGAGAACACATTTTACTACATTTCCTGTTTGCTTTTGACAAACATTCATCCGAACCATAAATATTCACTGAGACTTTACAATATACAACGTCCTTTGAAGATTCTGCAGGAATCCAGAGGGGAATCAGACCACTCCCTGGCTTACAGGACATTACAGTTCCATTTCTGGGCCTGGATCCCTATGATGAGATTCTCTGACTCCTGCCCAGCAACTGAATTTCCTCCTGAGTCCCCCACTCACTGGAATCATGGCTGCCATCAAGAAGTTTCCTTCTTTCCATTCCCATGGCCCGGATTCAGATTTTGATTATTTCAAAGGCCAGGCAGGCCAGAAACAGTATAGTCAACAAGATGATTTTTTTTCTTAAATACTCTAAGTTAGATATAGCCCTATCTCAATTCCTTCCAATTAATGCTTTTTTTTTTTTTTTTTAATAGTCCAGAGGTCTTTTGTCCTTTTTTATACCTCTGATACCATGAACTCTGAGGGGATAAGTCCCAGCAGCTCAGGCTCCTTTCCACTGGTTCTCACAAGGTGTGCTTCTCTGGGTGGAGCAGGAGGGCACTGCAGTTGAACCCAAACACCTTTCTCCTTGGCTTCCTTCTTTTTCTGATTGTTTTCCTTCAGGAAGCTATCTCAGCTCTTAGAGTGCTTGATGTGCTCAGTATGTACATTAGTTCTCTTGGCAAGAATCTTCCCTCAACTTCCCGGTTTACGACAATGCCAACAGAGCACAGGGTGACACTGCAGGCCCCTGCAGTTGTGCCATGGTAACGTTTGTGGCCCATTCCCCTGATGTCTACAACATCACCTTTCTGACCAATCACACATACGTGACAACTCCACATGGTCTAAAAGGCCTAGAGAACACGTGGTGGGGGCCTCTCCTCCTTCCCTGGTCATTTTGACAAATTACTAGAAGATGGCAATTCCAGACAAAGGGAGGGTGCGCCTTCTGATTAATCTTACCTATAGGACACGATCTAGTCTTCCAAGAACCTTATCAAAACCCAAACCCTATACACTAAAACACATCTGTGCCTGAGGATGGCCGCGAACCTGCCGCTGCTGTGACACTGGTCAGGACAGGACCATCTCCACTCCTAGGAAGACCAGGGCTGGTTAAGGAGGGAAAGGAATTCGGGGTAAGACAGACAAGACAAATCTTCCACCTGGGCAGGTTTTTGGAAGTGACATTCACAGCGGCGGCTCTAAGGCTTTGCCATTAGGTCCTCCAGCTCCTGTTGCCATTACTCAGCAATTCCCAAACACGCCCCAGCTCTCTCATCTCAGGCCCTTCATCCAGACCCTTCTCTGGGGCTTGAGATGCCCTTCTGTCCTCCATCGGCCCCACTACGCATTTTTCAAGGCTCAGCAGAAAATTCCACCTCTGTCACAGAGGCTTCCATGCTTCAGGGGAGTAAGCATCTATTCCTCTGGTTAAACTCCTTAGAAAGGACTTCACGATCACTGTCAGTCTGAGACGATCATCACGGGCCTAACACCACTGTCCACCTTCCACCACCGCAGCCATTTCTTCCCAATGGAGTCACCTGCTCTCCTCTCTAGACACAGATCATAGTCCTGTCCCGGGCAGATTTCCTCGTCTAACAGCCTAACAGTTTCATCTTGTACCATAAGTGTGCTTTAAAATAGACTGCTCATGAGATATGCAGTGAGCGTGAGATCCCCAGAGGGCTCAGGGTCACCTCTACAGCACTCCTGGCTTCCAAGACCCTGATATATATGACAGGAAGATAAGCTTCAAAGCCTGATTGTTCATGCCATAAGATGACAGGCTTCCTACAAACACACTCATTTTCCACTGAGGACAGGTTTTATACCACTGCTCTTGGGAAAGCATACCCCAAACCTGAAACACTAGTTTCTCCCTGACGTGGACGGGCACATTAAACACAGGGCTAAAAGAATTACTGGTGGGGCGCCTGGTGGCTCAGTCGGTTAAGCATCCAACTTCGGCTCAGGTCATGGTCTCAGTTCATGGGTTTGAGCCCCACGTTGGGTTCTGTGCTGACAGCTCAGAGCCTGGAGCCTGTTTCAGATTCTGTGTCTCCCTCTCTCTCTGCCCCTCCCCCCCGCCCTCTCTCAAAAATAAACTATAAAAAACAAAGAATTACTGGTGAGAGAAAGGCAGGTTGAAAATCTTGGCAAAGTTCACAATCTAATGCTTTCTGCAGAGAGCTCTGTGGCTGGAATTCTCGGCCACGTGCTCCACTATCTCACACTGACTTCATGCCAGCAACACGCAATCTCGTGACCATGTGCCCTGACTAAAGAGATTCCCCACTTTGGCAAAACTTCAAAGTCACTTAACTATTTGTGCCGAGTCCAGTAGACTGAGTCCCAAATTCTTACCACCTTGGGGCTCATGACCTCCCCACTTACCTCCAAGCGCTTCCAAGAAATAAGAGGTTCAAGCTAGAGGAGAGCGGCATGGCCTGGGTGGTGGCAGCAGGCTGGGAAGCCAACAGTTAGGCTAGCACCCTCCCCAGGACCCAGTGGCCAAAGCACACAGGACTTACTTGTATGGGGTCCTCCTGAGGGACAATGCCTGTTTCATATGCCTGCTCTGTTTTAGTAGGCTGCTTTTCTCGTGTGAGGTCAGGCCCAGGAAAGCAATCTGCAAAAGAAGGTTGGAAGGTACGTGAAACATACCACCACGTCAAGGCTCCATCTCTCTTAGTGCATCACGGGACAGAAGGAAACATTCAGTGTCCCGTCAAATACGGTGTCCCCCAGCCGTCTAAGCAAGATCACTGTGAGACTGACAACAATTCCGCAGTCTAAATGAGACTCCCCTATGTAAATCTAGTAGCTGAGCATTTTTTTCAAGTTTATTTATTTATTTTTAAGTAATCTCTACACCCAATGTGGGGCTCAAACTCATGACCCCAAATGAAGAGTCACACATTCTTCTGGCTGAGCCAGCGAGGTGCCCCTGAGCATTTATTTTTTTCTTTTTTTTTTTTTTACTGATTTTCATTAATCTTCAAAAAAGCACAGTCGTGAAAGAATTGCTTTAGTGACTCAAGCCATGGCTTACCACCTTGTTTAGGCTCTCAACACATTTAGCATGCGACTTGTAGATGAATAAAACAATGTAAGGTCAGCATTACAGCAGTTATCTCACCTTGTGTATGCTTCTTAGTAGTTCTTTGGAAAGGGCCAAATGAAAAAGTTAAAGAACATTTACATGTTCTGAAGTGAAGAACTTTTAAATCCATAATTTGGGAACGGGTAAGAATTAAGATAACTTGAAAACTCCCAAATTTGGAGCACCTGGGTGGCTCAGCCGGTTAAGTATCTGACTCCTGATTTCAGCTCAGGTCATAATCTCATGGCTTCCTGATTTGAGCCCCGCATGGGCTCTGCACTGACAGCGTGGAGTCAGCTTGACATTCTCCCTCTCCCTCTCTTCTGCCCCTACTCTACTCGCACTCTCTGTCTCTCTCAAAATAAATAAATAAGCTTAAAAAAAAAAAAAACAAAAAAAAAACCTCCCAAATCACTGAGATGCCTGGGTGGCTCAGTCGGGTAAGCAGTCAACTCCTGATTTCGGCTCAGGTCATGATCTCATAGTTCATAGGATCGAGCCCCGCATAGGGTTCTGCTTGGGAGCAGATTCTACACCTCCCCCACTCGCTCACACACTCTCTCTCAAAATAAACATTAAAAAAAAAAAAAAAACCCTCCCAAATCATTAAAACCACTACTATTCACTGAGTTACTCCATTTAATCCTCAAAACAACTCAAACATCAAGTTCCTTATCCTAAAACAGAGATTATCACACCATCCTCCCTCATCAGACTGCTTAAGGACTTAACATCATAGATTTAAAATACCCAGTGCATATAGAGAACAAACAGAGGGTTGCTGGAGGGGTTGTGGGAGGGGGCATGGGCTAAATGGGTAAGGGGCATTAAGGAGTCTACTCCTGAAATCACGGCTGCACTATGTGCTATCTTGGATGTAGAGTATAAAAAATAAATTATAGAAAGTATAACACACAGTGCAGAGGTTTCTGGAGGTAAAGTAACTGGTCCAAGGTCACACAGCTTAGAAAGTGGCAGAACTGAGACAGACACCTCAGTCAGTGTGAGAATGAAGTTCATGGTCCTCACCACGGACTACATGCTCAGTCTGACTTATTATAGCCAAACCCATGACTCACCAGAGCAGTCATCAAATGAAAGGCTTCCAACAAATTGTTTTGTTTATTAAGAAAACAACATTGCTAGGAGAGCTTGGGTGGGTCAGTCGGTTAAGCGTCCGACCTCATCTCAGATCATGATCTTGCGGTTTGTGAGTTCGAGGCCCACGTCGGGCTGTGTCTGTGCTGACAGCTCGGAGCCTGGAGCCCACTTCAGATTCTGTGTCTCCCTGTCCCTCCCCTGCTCACACTCTGTCTCTCTCTCCTTCAAAAATAAACATTTAAAAAAAATTTTTTTAAAGAAAACAGCATTACTCTGAATTCCTGTATTTGAAAACTATCTAAAACTTTGAGTCCATTCTCCTGTCTTAGAAGCATTAAAAAAAAATTAAGGTTTCTTTAAAAAATTGATATTATAATCTCACATATACTATACTTGTCCTAAGACTCCAGGAAAGAAGAACGAGAATTAGAATCGATGCCTCAAGGGGCGCCTGGGTGGCTTAGTCGGTTAAGCGTCCGACTTTCACTTAGGTCATGATCTCGTGGTTCGTGGGTTCGAGCCCTGCGTCAGGCTCTGTGCTGACTGCCAGCTCAGAGCCTGGAGCCTGTTTCAGAGTCTGTCACTCCCTCTCTCTCTGACCCTCCCCTGCTCACACTGTGTCTCTCTCTCTCTCTCTCCCCTAGAAATAAATAAAACATTAAATTAAAAAAAAAAAAAAAAGAATCGATGCCTCAAATCTTGGGTTCTACATCTACTTCTACCTCTCACCACCCTCATGGACAAAATCAAGGCACTCAACATCTCATGGGCTTAGTTTTCTTGTCTCTAGAATGGAGACACTACTTGGGCACAATCTGCCCCTCAAATGTTTGTCAGGGAATGGATACGAAAGTGCTCTGGAATATGTAAAACATATAAATATTAGGTGTCGTACAAGATAGTAGTTAATATTTGGGGCGCCTGGGTGACTTAGTCAGTTAAGCGTCTGACTTTCCCTTAGGTCATGATCTCATGGTTCGTGGGTTCGAGCCCCGCGTCGGGCTCTGTGCTGACTGCCAGCTCAAGGCCTGGAGCCTGTTTCAGAGTCTGTGTCTCGCTCTCTCTCTGACCCTTCTCTGCTCACACTGTCTCTCTCTCTCACCTAGAAATAAATAAAACATTAAAAAAAAAAAGATAGTAGTTAATATTAATAATTGATGCTAACACTCATTCTTTCTGCCTGAGCCTATTGATGCCAGAGGGGCAGGAGACTAAGATGATCATTCAGAAGCCTCAGTTCAGTCAGTGTCACCAGCTTCATTCCTTTCCTTAGCACGTGTTCCCTTTGTCTGTCTTTATCACTTTGTAATTATTACTGTAGAACTGGTTACTTCCCTGTAAAAGTGGAATGCACTCTGCTTTTGAGGAGTAATGCTCTAATCGTGCGAGGGCTCACAGTAACTGGCACAGACTGACCGCGGCTGCCCATTCCACAAGCACAGGCCACAGCAACAATGAGAATTAGGTTGTGCTCATAGGGGAAGGAAGGCAGCAGGCAAGGGACAGTAGCTTCTTCAGAAGCTGAATGTGGCTACTGCCCTGGGGCGTGAACTTACTAATAGCCATGACCTTCCCTAAAAGTGTAATGAGCATATCCTGTGGTTAGTGAGGGATCTTGCATTTCCTCCCCACTTCTACCCATTTAAGCACAGGACAATAATCAGGATAACAAACAGGGTTGGAAAAAGTGAGAGAAGATAATCATGTCACATCTGCACAATGCTTTATAGTTTACATCATGCTTTCACATACTATATGATTTACTGTATGATGAAAACATCTTTGAATGAGACTGTCAGCAGACCTAAGTTTCCAGTTCTGATTTTGCCAGTCACTGGGTGACCTTGAGCAAGTCACCTCTCTCTACCTCTATCCGTAAAATAAAAAGGTCAGATTAGATCATTCCTAGGGCCAAGCTAACAACTTACTACTCTAACCTGTACACAATCCTGTGAGAGCAGCATTATCAACCCCATTCTACAGACAAGGACCTGGAAATTCAAGAGTCAAATGACAGGCCCCGACCCAGAGAGTAAGCGACAGAGGTGGACCTAGGACCCAAAAGCCTTCTGATGAAATATTCCAGTCTTTCTACCTTATTACAGTGTATTGGAAATTTTACCCAAAGGCTTTCCAGAAGAGAAATACATACCTGAAAGAGCTGATTTAATAATAAAAATGTTGACCATGAGAAATGGAAAGCTGCTAGAGCGAAGATATATAAGACCCAAGGGGAGCAGGCCACAATCTGATTGAGGTAGGTCCACAGTCCATCTTCTCTGAATGTCGTCACACAATGACTGGACCAATCTGTGGATTCACAAAAAAGAAAACTTATTATTTAAAAAGGCAACAGACTAGTGATTATTGTACAAGAAGATAAAATCACTGTATTTCTTTTCAGGGCGAAGAGAAAGTAAGACATGGTAAGCACTGATTAGAAACCAGCTTTAAAAATTTATCTTCCAGCGGCACCTGGATGGCTCAGTCGGTCAAGCGTCCAACTCTTGATTTTGGCTCAGTCCATTATGTCATGGTTCGTGAGTTTGAGCCCTGTGTCAAGCTCCACACCGACAGTACAGGGCCTGCTTGGGATTCTCTCTCCCTCTCTCTCTCTCTCTCTGCCCCACCCCTGCTCACGCTCTCTCTCAAAATAAATAAACTTTAAAAAATTAAAAAATAATAAAAAATTTAAAACATTGTAGAAAAAAAAAAAAGAATTTTTCTCCCAAGTGCCAGCTTAACCAGCAAAGATGAAAACCCAGTACCTCATTTCTCATTAAGGCTATATGATACCATTGCATTGGCAGCTGGCAGTACAGAATAAAAGCAAAAAAGGTCCATAAGACCACCACTAAAACCACCATATTCAGCACAAAATGAACTGGCCCAATATTAATTGTCCAAGGACGTGATAACAGAGAATGACTGTATTCCATAAATATCTGTCTTAGAAGATTCTTTATTTTGTCCATGATACACAACAAGATAGGAGTCTACTATAGCACTGAAAAAACTCTTACTAAGGGTTCAAATCAGCAGGCCTTTGCTGCAGGCACAAGAAATCCTGTGAGCGCCCAGATACCATGGGCACACAACCTAAGAGCATGCAGTTACTGGGTGTGCTTCTGCACCGGCGCTCTAATTTATCCTGTAGACAGGGAGAAAGTAAGGGAATTCATGAGACAGACGCCCCTAGGGAAAGAGTAAAGGGAAAGATTCATATAGGCACAGCTCAATTTCTCTCCAGGGATACCTATTTATATGCCAGTCAGAAGAGAGGACTTCACTCTGGCCTTCGTGGCCTTCCTCAGCCATGCAGCCAAAAGCAGCGGTGAGGAGAACGAAGGTAGGAAGCAGCAGAAACAAGCGAATAGATCTTCAAGGTCTTGTGAAGCCAATGGCTTCTGTAGGCCCCATGACAGTTTATAAAGGGCAAATTACTTTTGAAATAAAAATTCTGTAAATTTGCACCCTGAGGTTTCATAAAGGCCTCTGACAATGTGATAAGTAGTTTCAGACACTTTCCCAAAGCAGCACTTAAGAGCTCCTGGGACAGAAAGAAAATGAGTCCCTGACTTTACTATCACCTGTCGGACCATTTTAGTCTTAAAAAATATATATATATTTTTTCCCCCTTTTGAGGCTTATTTGGTTCCCAACCATCTTTCACAACTACACATCAGCAGCATTCTAAGAGTAATCATCACAGCATAACAATCAAGGCAACAAGTTAAGGCAAATTACACTCTCTTGAGAGCTTCTCATTAGGACAGCAGACAAAGATGCCTCCCATGTACCTGATATGACAAAAAAGATTATAATTCCCAACAGCAGGTACAGGAAACAGCTGCTGAGTGGGAAAGAATACCTACTTTCTTCCAGCTTATAGATTTCTACTGCTGTCTTCTGGGAATTTTTTTGATAACACAGCATGACCTCAAACTGGAATTTTCAGAGGACTGATTGCAGATTGAATGTCAAAGATACGGCTACAAATGGCCACATACATTATCTTCTGCGACATACAACTTTAATGTGTGCTAATAATACATTCTTATCAGGTGGTCACTGGCTAGTGATAGGGGACTTATACTGTACCAAGTTGATCATCTTCATCTTTAAATAGCTCTGCCAACTACAACGTTCCTCCTAACGATGATCTAAAATCTTTCTCCCCGTAACTTGTTAGGATGCTGACCCTTTCTGAGTGTCCGCCCTGAAAACAGACCTCACAAAAGACGGATGGACGCTACACAGAGCCAGAAGTGGCTGTAACTGGCTCACGCGAGGCTCGGGCACATCAGGGCTCTTACGTCAGGAGTGCTAATGGTAAACAAAGAAGGTGGGATGACAGGGAGGCCTCGTTAGAAAAATGAGGCACAAGTTCATTTTTTCTGCCTGTGAAGTAATAAGAAATGACACGACGTCCTCATTCGGTGCAAACAAATATTGCCAGAATATAAATGGGATAAAAGTAACAAAATATGCTCACTTGTCTACACGGCCGCAGGTGAATATAAAGTGGGACTGTTCCTAAGACACAAAATATAATATAAAAATTGGTTCAGAGCCAGAGAACACAAACAAAGAAGAGGGAAGGGCCAATGCACAGAATACGGAAGCAAAGCAGAAAGAAGAAAAGCGATGGAAAATTACTTCTGTCCTTATCAATACAGTCTTATGCTGGACACAGACACCAAGCAAAGCTGACTATTTTTAGTGAAGAGAGAAGCAGGAGAGACAAGAGTGGTGTAAAACCTGGCTTCTCTCCCAATAGGATCAAGTCCAAGGGACAAGCTGGTTCATGGGCCAGCTTCAAAAAGGTTTTCCAGGAATCTGCTTTACTGTTAGGCTTTAAAAGGGCAGTTCTTTCAGAAGAAAGATGCGTTGTCAAGAAATCTTTTATTCCTTAAACTACAAGACATAATCTAAGGGGTTTTTTAAATTCCAGTGCTCAGGATTACTTATGGCCTTTGACAAGAAATGCGATCAAGGATCACAACCTTCTGACTATTCAATCCATCTGAGGTGGTGGCAATTACACTGAACTATAGAAGCTTTCCCTACTGGTCACAGACACCCAAGGTGTTGGACAAGAAAGGGCTGACACGGTGACTGAAGCCCTCCCCATGCCTAGGGCAGGACAAAAAAAAAAAAAAAAAACAAAAAACCAAAACCAAAACAAAACCATTTCACATAGATATTAATTAATAATCTCTAAAAATGAAACACCAAACAACCCAAAACTTTATGTTTCCGGGGAGGGTAACTGGGAGGCTAGGGAACAGTGTAGGAGGAATTATTTCTCAAAAACTAAACAAAATTCGGGGCACTTGGGTGGCTCAGTCGGTTAAGTGGCTGATATCAGCTCAGGTCATAATCTTGCTTTTCACGAGTTTGAGCCCCACGTCGGGTTCTGTGCTAACAGCTTAGAGGCTGGAGCCTGCTTTGGATTCTGTTTCTTCTCTCTCTCTGCCCCTCCCCTGCTTGTGCTCTGTCTCTCTCATTCTCAAAAATAAATAATAAAACAAACAAACAAAAAAAACCTAAGCAAAATTTAAACTTAAAACAGCTGGAGCAGGGGCAGGGGAAAGGCAGGGAGAGGCAGTGCTTAGGATGCCAAGGGGAAAAGAAAATAAAGTAGAAAAAAAATGTTCCTAACATCCCCCTGTATCAGGCTGCATTTTAGCACAAGCAATAAACTAGTATCCCACGGACAGAATCTAAGACTTGAGCATGAACGTAACAGGAGGGTGGGAGGAAACAGATTTTTGGTGAGGCCAAATTCTCCCCAAAGTCTTGAAAATAGATAACAAACAGTGAAACAAATAAAGCCAAAATAAAGAAACTACAAGCACTATATGTTTTCCCAGTTAGGTGACCCACTCCAAGGCTTGAGAAGCACAGCCGTGCAACTGTTAAGAGCTAACCCAAATCCTTCTTGCTTCAATGCAAACCTGGGTCTTCTTAGTCAATCACATTGGAATAGCTGAATGTCGCTCCCTACACGAGCCCCCTACATGCCCGTTCACATGCTACTGAGAAGTTCTTTTCCTTTCTCAGGGATGCAGAATAAGTGGCCTAATGTTTTCTTCCAAGTCATTATCCCCAAACTCTCAATGACTACTAGTTTCTCCCATTACCTCTAAGCTGTGACTTGACATTTATCAAGAGTTGTGTTCCTTCCCTATGGTGACCACTTCCACCTTCCTTCATCTGCAGCACCAACCTTTTCTTTTTCCTCTTTTATTTACTTATCACTTCCCTTGCTTTGTGCCTGAGCCGCTGATCTTTCCTCACTTTACTGGGTGATAAATCTGCACCTGCCTTAAATGAATTTGTATTCTGACCACTTCTCAAATTTATCAAGGTCACTTTAGAATACACTCTCTTCCCAGGTGCTGACAACTAATCTCTTCAAGTCTTCCTTGCAGCTTTCCCAATGCTGGGAGTCTCAGAGGTGGCCGTTTCATTTTTAGTAGGGGTGTGGTTCACAGTCACTCAGCCAGAATGTGCCATTCAAGAATGTACCAAGACAAGTATGTGTGGATATGGATGTATGAGCTTGCTGTAAGAAAAATGTATACTTACAGATGAAAGATTCATATATAATCCAATCACAAACAATGGAAAGGAAAAATAAGAAGAATATGTAATAGTGATGGTTGCCAAAACCTAGAGCAGAAAGAAAAAACATAATTAATACTTTTGCTTGCAATGATTTTCCAGATCAAGACCTTACTAACCATCTTCCTGTCAAAAGCTTCCACCAAGTAAAAAAGTAAATAAGCTAATACTTGGCTTTTAAATACCACTAAACCAAAACCAAACAGCTCTGATATGTCACGGTCAACTGTGTCAACTGAACTAATAGTTATTTGCTGCTTACCTAAAAGAAGCCACCTTTCTTGAACAGAACGAGGTTTAAGCATATACAGCTCTAGGATGGCCTATATTTACTGTGCTGGAGGAAGGGGAGCAAGCAGGACTTTGGACAAATCATAACCTGTACTTTTTCCACGTAACGAGTTTAAGTACAATTTCTGAACTTCAAGGATTCACTTGATCAGGGGAACAGAGAAAATGAATCTGAAGAACAGCACTAAATAGCTCTGCTGCAGGGCCCTAGACACAGAAAACAGGGGCAACGGGCGGCCACTCTCACATATGCGGCTTGTATCTACCGCTCTCTGGACACCGGGGTTGGGCGCACCTTACTACTAAGGATACAAAAGTACCACCATGTCCCCACTTTCTCCTCAGGCAGCAAAGCCCAGCAGCAGGAGGAAGGCCCCCTGCAATGAGGAGATCTAGGCCCATGGGTGACTAGTTGTGTGACTAGAAGGAAGTCATTTAACCTCTCGGGTCTGGTGTCCTTGCTTTTAACATGGAGATATCTCTTCTGTTTCACAGGCCTGGCAGCCCAACAAGATGATCCACTATGTTAAATGCAGCCAAATAAAAATATATGGGCTCATTACTGTTGCTTTTCCACTTCCATTCAAAGCTGGCTGCTCTGATGCGAATCCTCCCGTCTTTACAGTGGGATGGGGTCCATGAAGCTTGGGACCCCAGGAATGATCTCTTCACTGTTCTCCAGGAACAGCAGAGGCCATCAAAATGCACCAAAGAAACCTGACCTGCTGAGGCAGGTTTTTGTTCGAGATTATAAAAGCTTCCTCCTCTCCTGGAGACAAATGACCATAGTTCCTCTGAAGTCCTCATAATAAGCCTGTGACTTCTACAGCGACCACTCAGAGGAAACTCAGGGCTACAGACCAGGACAAGGAACAGTCCACACCGTCTCTGGTGTGAGCTTCCACCTGAGCTTTGAAGGAGGCACCTGGAGAAGTACATGAGAGAGACGAGCCACAGAATGTGGTAAGAACCTGGTAATTTGGCACAGATGACCAATACTACTAAAGTAACCTCAGGCAAATAATTTGCCTTTCGTATTTTTCCACCTCTCAAATGGAGACATAATACCAACTTCAGAGGTGTGCCCTGATGATCAAATAGGCTACTACATTCAAAACTGCTTTATAAACTCTAAAATACTATACAAATGACATTAATTATTATCAACATCGACAGTTTTCCAAACATGTTAACACCACAGAGAGGAGTCTCTGACAAAGAAGAGTTACCAAATGGACCCCTGAGATGCCCTTCTGTCTTTTCTATTAATCACACACATGACTAAATATATACTTAATAGTGTCAAATAAGAAATTCAATCTCTCACCTATGCACCGTCCAGTCCACAGACAATGCTGATCGTACCGAGCGACACAGGAGTTACACACGTGGCAATGAAGTGACCTCAATGGCTTCCTTATCTAAGGAGGCAATTAAGATAGGTCTAAGCAAAAATCAGTGTCTTAAAGTGGTAACAAACCACAAGCAGACTCTTACTCCTAAATCATAATGACGTGGGTACAAATAATCCTAAATAGGTCATCAATTCACAGAGAGGCTCTGGAATGCCTTATTAATATTTACTTTCATATATCTATTTTGAGTAGGCCAGCACTAAAGGGGTTTTGAATTCCAGAGCCTATTCACACTGACAAGGGGGAAACAAGGAAGTATCATTAAGAAAAAGGGAAAAGGAAACCCCAGTTACATTTCTGGCTCTGCCAATAATTTGTTACTATGTTAGGGGGAAGTTACTTCTTCCCTCTAGACCTTGATTCCTCAATTGCAAAATAAGACGTTTCACTAAGCGGTTTCTGGGATCATCGTGAGCCTCTGACTTGAAGTTAGTTCTAATATATGCTTTATGGCAGGAAAAAGCAATCAAAACACAGCACGGATCATTCACAGAGAGATCTAACCACAGACAACTTCGAGAAACCACAAACATCATTCCTTCATATGCTCAAGGCAGAAAATTATTCTGACAGTAATACAAAATTAGAAACCGGTAAAAACAAAGGTGTGCAAATATACCATGGATATTTAAGAAATGCTTACATGAGAAATGTTACCAAGAATTTGCCTTCTCACTATGGGATAAAATTATTTACAAAAAAAAAAAAAAAGAAGACTCACAAGACAGGAGGTACAAAATGTTCTGAAGTCCAGACAGCCAGTCTCTGCAAGGGTGATGATATTCTGAAAGGCACAAGATTTGATCTTACGATGATGTTTTATTGGGGAATGGTTATTCACCATTGTCACAGCTCTCTCTCCAAAATGACGTGGCCAGAAGAGCAATCTGGAATATCTGCCACCAGATGCCACAAATCATTCTGTGCCTGAAAATAGTGTGACTTTTCAAGGCTGCATTTTCAACCACAGCCAATAAATTAGAAGGCACACAAATTACACCTCCCCATTCTCTCCATGAATGGCAGTCATCTCCCAGTTATAATCTGTTAGAGAAAACTACACCTTATGGATACACTCATAAAAAGCAAACAAAACCCATCAGTACCCATTGGAACTGATGGTGACGAGCACCACAGGCTCAGTCTCCCAGGAACTGCCTACAGGGAACACCGATGACGACCCTTCTAAACATTCACCAGCAAAGGAAGACACGCATGTCCTCTGACACCTTCACATCTATCTCATGTCAATAAGGAGGGCTCCCCCTGGCCCCTGCCTAGTTACTCACCATGGATCAAGTGGGGGAGTTTAAGCTAAATGATCATTATGTAAGTGCTCCTATAAAGAAATTGGATCGTGTTCGCTAACAGAAGTTGTATTTGAAAAAGTCTTGGGTCTGACTTTAAGAGGAAATAAAAATACTTTTTAAAACTTTTCCAGAAATAAGTGAAAAAACATGACACTGGAGAAATCTCAACTTTGTTGATTTACGCTGCATCTATTATGTGCCAGGCACTGGAGATGACCCATGACAAACACGAGCATTGCTATGACCTTCCTATTTAAAAAAAAAAGTAATCTTACAAAGGAAGCCTCACCGTTTTCCTTTCTTCTTCAGAAGCTTTAGTGAAGCCTGGATCAGTTGCCCAAGTCTTGTAGAAAAAGTAGAGGAAGCCTACTAGGCTAAGAACGAAAGCAAAATAGAAAGGGGTGCCTGCTAGATGTGAAAACCATGTTAAGGAACATATCAACTTCCACTAAGAACAGCATAATTACAACATAAGCAATTTCGCTATAGGTGCCTAAGAATCTCAGGGGCGCCTGGGTGGCTTAGTCGGTTAAGCATCCGACTTTCGCTTAGGTCATGATCTCGCGGTTCGTGGGTTCGGGCCCCGCGTCGGGCTCTGTGCTGACTGCCAGCTCAGAGCCTGGAGCCTCTTTCGGTCTGTGACTCCCTCTCTCTCTGACCCTCCCCTGCTCACGCTCTCTCTCTCCTAGAAATAAATAAAACATAAATTTAAAAAAAAAAAAAAAAAAAAAGAATCTCTCTGCATTCTACCCTCACTTTCTGTTACATATACTCATCCCTGACCCCATTCTGTGTTCTAATCCTACAAGAATGTGCTCATAGTTGGCTAATAATTAACCCCTTCTGATCAGTTGAAACTCCTCAAAAAAATATTGATAGGAATGGTTGCCATATATGAGGTACATCCTGAGGACTGAAAAACATTCAAGATCCAAATAAATTAATCTCTAATAGTATTACCGTGGCTCTCCTGTAAGTATTCAAAAGAATAATTATCGGTCATTTTGACAAAATCATTCAAAGAAACAAACCATGTGATTCAGAGATTCCAAATAAAATATTTCCTTATACATTAGATAAGTGCTTACAAAAGTTTCCTAATGTAAGGTTTAATAACTAATGCTTTTCACTGTATTAGGCTGTATCGATTTAGAAATTTAAAAAACTGCTCTCTTTGCAAATTAATTACAAATCGAATACTGTTTTGGGAAAGGAAGATACTGTAGAGACAGTAAGATAAAAAGTATTTCAAGGATAAATATTATCCACTTTGAAATGTTTTTAAAGTGGTACAAATTCTTTGTATAGAAAGTAAAATTTTGCTCCAGGGAAAGACAAATGAAGGTGCAGTAAGTAATAAGAACAATATACCAGTAGTAAACCAATTCTCCTTGCCTAATTTAAATCATTATCAACACAGTAACCACATCTGCCTTCCAAGTTATTATCAAGCTGTCATGTTCCAAACTTTGGAGTGGAACAGGCAGCCATAAAATAAACTCTAAACCCGTGCTATTCAAAGTGTGATCCATGGACTCACAGCAATGGCTTTACCTGGGAGTCTGTAAGAAAGGCAGAACTTCAGACGTTACCCCAGATCTGCAGAACTACACTCGGGATTTTAACAAGATCCTCGGGGGATCCACATGTACATTGGAACTTAAGCAGCACTGCTCTGAGACACAAAAACTAGTGCTCTGACCCACAACCACATCTGGTTTACGTAGGCAGGAACAAATCTTGTTGGTTTACTAGTTTATCAGTTTGGGGGCATGTGGGTGGCTCAGTGGGTTGAGCGTCCAACTCTTGATTTCGGCTCAGGTCAGGACCTCAGGTTTTGTGAGTTTGAGCCCTACATCAAGCTTGGCACTGATACCACGGAGCCTGCTTGGAATTCTCTCTCTCCTTTCTCTCTGCCCCTCCCCTGCTTGTTCTTTCTGTCTTTCAAAATAAATAAACAGTTTTAAAAAGTTAATTTATCAGTTTGTTTGTCTGCAGAAGGGCCTAGCTTTAAGAAAGAGATAGGATCTAAAAGAGTGGTGTGAAATGAAATTCTAACAAATGAAGCTTACTTAGAATGTATTAATAACACTGTTAAAGAGCACATAAGTCGAGACCTTTAGTTAAAGAATCACATCCTGTTTTCTTCCCACAGAATCTTGATTAACACACAACACATTCTCAAAAATACATTCAGTTGAGTCACATGATTCTGCACATTGAGCTCACTGAACTCTGGCTTCCCATTCCAAAGAACTTTCAAAACAAATCCCAGGAGAATCACTGGATCCTCTCTAAGTAAAACAAATGCATTCTATCCCCTGATATAAAAGCCAAACGTTCCCTGCTTCCATGCCCTTGCTTTGTGTGGTTCAGTAGCCTCAAATGCTCCCTGCTGCCCCCATCTACTTCCAGAAGCACACTTTAAGGTTGCCCAAGTCTAACTTTATTCTCCGTCCCCTTGCAGGTCTTTCCTGAATCCCTACAGAGAAAGGATTCTTGCCCTTCCCGGAGTCTACGAATGCCTGTTCTGTGGCACTTAGATCTTAAATTGTAGTTATTTATAGACCCACCCCTCAGCCTCTCCAGTTGGCTGGTGACTCTTTACAGTTAAAGTCTCTCAATATGGAGCTGAAATGTGCCTTTCTGGAACTTGGACTAACTGGTTTTCATCCTTTAGATCCTTTAGCTCTACACTAAAGACCGATACTATGGCTGTCCTTAGATCTACCCTACAGAAGCCTATTCCTCATTTGTTCGATACGTTGTTATTGAACATCCATTCCATACAGTGCGCTGGCTTCCAAATCATAGACTTCCAAACACTTGGCATTAGGAGGCAGTGCTCACACCTACAGGATAAGCAGCAACGCGGTTCCCTGCACGGAACAGTTTCCTGGTCATGCTCTTCCGCTTTTGCTGCCGTTTGTCAATGTTTCTCTAAAAACAACAAAATTAAAACAAACACACTTCGGGTTGTACTGATCAGTGCCGGGACAGTGCGAGGGCTATTGTCCTTTGTGTGGACACTCACCTCCTTATACTACTCCTGGGGAATACAGTGGCTTCCTTGACACCTGTGTCACCCCCCATACCAGGCTTTTAGTCAAAGCTCTTGCTCCCTTCCACCCGCTCTGAAGCTGTGTCATTCCCACCACCACATGCCAGAAACAGACGTAATGTTCTGTGCTTTACCATTTCTTTCTCAAGTGTTCACCTCATCTCCAAACTCATCAGTGGAACTATCTCTTCCACATGATCCTGCCTCATAAAAGCCAAACACATTACTTGCTGAGCATATAAAAAAGCACCAAAAGGAAGGGATCATCTGAGGAACCAGCCCAGAGTGTCCCTTAATTTCAAAATGCAGCCATCTACACAGATTTTACTCAGAAGAGTGACTAATAGAATAGGTATTATTTATAAAATGCCCACTATGCAGTGAGGACCATGGCATTTTACAGACATCATAGCAGAGTACTCCTTGCAGCCATCCCACAAATTTGGTGCTGTTATCCCTCAGGATTTTTTTTTTTTTTTTTTATAGAAAACAGACTCGGTGAAATTTAATAATGTGCCCAGTCAGACATAAGAAAGAGAGCCAAACTCAAACCCATTCTGTCCGATGACAAAGAGGGTACTCTTTCCACAGTGGCCCCCCTCCTCCAACACTGCTCATAAAAGCCTGGGAGAGGGGAAGCCCCCACACAACCCAGACTTGGCAAAACCTGGGACAGATAAGTCAACTGAGAACTGAGGGGAGCACCTCAGGTCACACCCAGTGCAGTTCAAACGGCATTTACCATACAGCTTCATAGACACTGAGCCGCTGGCTAAGTGTGCCACCTACTGACTGACATGCACTCACCCACAGCAGGTGCATACAGCTGCCCAGGTCCAGGGGCTTTCTGCTATATGGGCAACTAACAGATCCCGTCTCGTCAACTCCGACATAAAAGTCAGAGTCTGTCTAGCTTTCGAAATCAGTTCTTCTGATGTAAAGGCATCTTTGCAAATGGTGAGCCGCTTGTGATTAAACTCAACTGAATACTAAGTTCTGTGATCAAGGCTTTCAAAACTACAGGGGAGTTACTTTTCTGTTGCTACTGATTCTGCAAAAAACTCATCAGAAAACACAAACCTAAAACGGTGTTTACTCCACTGCCGCAAGGGTTGGTAAACACAAATATCAGCCCTCCCTTCTCGGAATCATGTCACTTATCCTACAATTTATCCGGCTTGAGATTCCTGCAAGTAATTTGGAGTGTATACTGTCCTGCTGTTTTATACACTTATGGTTACTTATAAAGTATTTTTATAACACATAATATCAAGCAAGTCTTCCTTAAGTAGTGGTAGTAAGACTAATGCTTAAACAGCCGCCCCTAAATCAGTCCTCGTGAGACAAAGGCTTTACACGATAACATCTTTTGATAGAAGTCAAATGAACTCCATGGTGAGCTACCCCATTCATTTACATTAAAGGAATCTGAAAAAAAATGTTAGAGAAAAGGCTCAGAAACAAAAATACCATTAAAGCATAAACATGCTATAATGAAAGGAGATATATGCACTCAGAACTCACATGAGTCCTCACTTTACATTGATTCCTATGAAAAGTGTATTTCTGAATTGACTGTATGCATTTCTTCCACAAACACCATTTTTCTGTTTAAAAATGCCATTACCAGGAGGACACATAGCACAGAAGTTAAATATGTTTACAGGTACATTTCTATCCACCACATTCTTCCTTCTCTCACCATATAAAGACAAGGTTATAATGGTTTCCTAGAGTCTCTGGAAGGGAAAAAGGGAATCTGGAAGGAGGTGGGAAGGTAAAAAGCTGGAGAAAATGCCTCCCTCCCAACAGCAGCTATAAATAGCTTTCAGCCAAAAAGTCTCCCCTAAGAGCACAACACACCCCCTAGGCTGCCAGAGGCTGGAACCCAGCACTTCGAGGGATAAGCCTGTTTCTTAGGTGAGGTTTTTGTTTGTTTGTTTGTTTAATTTGAAACCATGGTCTGCCATCCATGAGCAGTTCATGACAGAATTAAGTGGGCTGTGACCAGCATTTTTAAAAAAGGAAAGAGATAGGATAAAACTACTGAATTTCACAGTAGAGCACACAGTAGGAGTATCATTTTCTGTTTCACCCTCCTTTTGGGTGGCAACATAAATGTGCTTTTACTGTGGATTGAGAATCACTGCTGCGGACAGACACACTGCACTGGCCACTGCTGAGGAGGACAGGTTCCCTGAGCATCCCTCCCCTACAGGCCGTCTTGGCACCCAGGAGACTTATTAATCAACTGTAACTGCTGACCAACTTAAAAGAACCTGCTGACCTTGAGGAGAGTATCTCAAGGCAAGATGACAAATTTTCATGGGTCCAAGTAAAACAATACTTCACTCTATTGCTTCTTTCCTCTGAGTAATAAATACTAGACACTACTGCTTCCATAGTATGTTCTGAGATTACTTCCAGAACTCGTGCAGATTTTCGACATTAAAAATCTTCAACCAAAATAACTGAAATGCATACAAATATGAATTGCATTCCCTGGATCCCTTCTAATGTCTACATTTCTTTTTTTTTTTTTTTTTTTTTTTTTTTTTTNTTTTATTTCTAGGAGAGAGAGAGAGAGAGACAGTGTGATCAGGGGAGGGTCAGAGAGAGAGGGAGTCACAGACTGAAACAGGCTCCAGGCTCTGAGCTGGCAGTCAGCACAGAGCCCGACGCAGGGCTCGAACCCACGAACCGCGAGCTCATGACCTAAGCGAAAGTCGGACGCTTAACCAACTAAGCCACCCAGGCGCCCCAAATGTCTACATTTCTAACAATGGCATTACTATTGTTTAAAGGCAAAATGAGGTATGCCTTTAAATTTCAGCTGGAAGGATATGAGGAAAGAATAAGATGAACCAAGTCACAAATATCCAAAAAATGGAACTTAGCAGGAAGACTGTTGGTAAGTAGATAAGATTCTTATATCCGAACAAGAACCTAAAAGAAAAAACGATAAACATATGGTATTAATAAAAACAAGTATGGTCCATATTTAGTTCTAAATCCCCTTAAATAATAACAATAATAATAATTCCCTTAGGTAACAACAACAATAACAGCTTCCAGCACTGAGTGCTTCCTATGCGCCACTTTCCACATGGTAACATCGGGATGGCTCAGCTAGTTAGGCATCCAACTCCTGATTTCAGCTCAGGCCATGATCTCAAGGTTCATATCAAGCCCCACATTGGGCTGCGCTGGCAGCACAGAGCTTCCTTGGGATTCTCTCTCTCACTCTCTCTCTCTCTCTGGCCCTCCCCCACTAAAGCTCTTTCTCTCTCTCTCAAAATAAACAAACATTTTAATATTAAAAAAAATAAGAGTTTGCCACCATCTCAACCCCATTTTACACATGAGAAAAGTAAAGCACTCAAGCAATGCATGTTCCAGTTCTTATAGCTAACTTCTATGTTATTTCATTCCCAGTAACTTTCTATTTGCAATGAATCTTTATTTCTATTGAAAAATATCACAGTTGTAGTTCTCTTTTTGCCATATCATATTTTCAAATATTCCAAAATGCAAAAATTTTAAATACTTGGGAGATTCACCTTCACACTGAACAAGCTTTCTTCTGCAGGCGAGCAGTGTATTTTTAAACCGTAACAGATGCACACAACCTTACGCACTTTTACCCCACAATCAGCTTGAGAAGCAGACAGTCAACATAAAAAGAAGAAATAAAGGCTGAAAGTGGCCATAGTCCTCAAACGCTAACCCTCTTGCTTGGGTAACAAGCAACGTGGAAGTCTACACGGAACTTACTCAAATGTTAATATTATAGTTTCAAAAGAAAAAAAAATCTTTCATGTTAAATATTCAATATAGTAAATCCATGCATGAATATGGTTTACCTGGATCTATGTTAAGATTTATGCCAGGAAAACATAATGGTTGATGATGGCTAAGAAAAGGATTTTTTAAAAAGCTATCAAGATCAGAAGTATAATTATGATAAAATAGTTGAGAAAAACTAAAGGTTCCAAACCTCAGGCACATAATATGTGACCAGAACAGGCCAAACAGAGCCCATGTAATGTCCACAGCATGACCTGAGATTTTGCAGCACAGACAGATGTGTCTGGCTTAATTAAGCAGTGCAGTCAACAACCTAACTTGTAAGTGTCTGTGGACCACGATCTGTGGACTTCAAACAGCCATCACACAGCAGCCTGGGTCAATACGCAACTGCCCCTGGAGCCTAAAGGATAGTAGAAGTTTGCAGCTGCCTATATCCTTGAGACCAGGTCTCTACAGAAGAGTATGAGAGAAACAAGAGCAGTATGGATAAAGGTGCCATATGGATTTGTCTCCCATTTGGTTTGTGTCCATATGCCAAGTCTAGCGTATAAAGCCCTCAACTCAATGTCAGCAAAAATAAGGTTCCTATAAACTTTTGTATGATGTTTGTTTCTACTAAAACGAAAAAAATGTCAAATGCTCCTATCCTAGGTGAGAAGATACGGTCAGCTCTTGCTTTCTCTCTGAAAGAGAAAAAAACAAAAGCCCCAAAGTGATCATTGCGATTTCTGGTGATTTGGCTTAAAATGTGACAACCAAGTCACAATCTACATAGTGGAAAACGAATAAATAACTCTAAGTTACAAGTTTTCTGTATAGCAGACAACTTTGGGCATTTTGTTATTTTTCAGAATTGTGTGTTTTGACTTTACTTTTAAAATCTAATTCATTTCCAACCAAGAGGTAAGATTCCTCTAGTATTTTGTTTTTCCTTATTACTCAAGCAGCTCATGCTTATTCCAGAAAATGCTGGCAAACAAAAAAAAAGATCTCTCTTCAACATCACACCCTGAAGAGAGATCTTTTTAGATCCTTTTCTATGGATCATCATCACACATTACATTTTTCTTTCATTCAACAAATGAAAATGCTGAAAAGAGAAACGTTTCCTGCTTGCATGGGCCTTAATGCTCCAGGAAACGGTGAGTAAGTGCTACAAACAAAATCAAACAGGGTGATGCAGAGAGTTATTCAGGGATGGCCTCAGGAAGTGACACTGGACCTGAGGCCTGAACGGCTGTGTCCTCAGCTCTAAAATAATATGGTATGAGAATGCTTCAGACAAAGACCTAAGCAAGAATCAAAGCCCTGGGGTGGCATGAGTGTGTCCATGTGTTTTAGAAACGGAAAGAGGGCAGAAGAACAGAGAAGGGAAGGGAAGAAAGAGATGAAGTCCAAAGGGAGAGATCGAATCACATAACACCTCACCGGCAAGGAGTTTGGATTTTATTTTGAACACCCAGAAAAGTCACTGGAAGGTGTAAGCAGAACAAAAGGAAAGAAACTGATTATTTGCCTTTTAAAAAGACCACCCTGACTGCTAAGTGGGGATGAACTATAAATTAGGGATAAGAGCTGACCAACTGGAGAAAGAACAGGAAGGACTTGGTGGTGAGCTGGATGTGAGGAGGGAAGAATTGAAGACAACAGCAATCCAAGGGTGACATTCATTATTCACATGGGGAACTGGATGCCCTTTTACTGAAAAAGGGAAGATGAGATTGGGGTGTGGCATGACTGTTGAGTACTGCGTGTCAGCCATGGTTCTAACCACTGTGTACGTATTAACCAGAAAGCAGGCATTGCCACTATTATTATCCTCATTTTATAGACGAAAAAGTGACGCACAGAGAGGTAAAGCAACTTGTTATAGGTCAGACTGCTGTGTGGTAAAGCCTGACTTGAATACAGGTAACTTGACCCTTAACCATGACTAAATACAATCAAGTATAATACTTTCCTAAAATCAGAGCCATCCCACAGTTGCTATTTTATAATTTTCCATCATTCAACTAGGGTGTTTCAACCAAAAAACCATAAAAGCAAAAATTATGAGCTTAAAATGAATTTAGATCAAGGAAAAAACATGAGTGCTAAAAAATGGGCAAAAATGCTTCATTCAAGATGCAAAACAGTTAGAAAAATCTTCTCATTACTTACCAAAATCAATAACCCAAAAAGGGAGCTCGGGTCTTTATTTCCTACCGGTTGCCAATTCAATCAAATTACTGGGTTGACCAAATTGCTTTTAGCCAAATCATACGCTACCAAAGCCCTTCCCCCACCCCCACCACCCCTGAAGACATTTCAATGTGGTAAGTAACTAACATTCAAAGCTCAGTAAAAACTGTGATTTCAGCTAATCAACAGCAGAAATAAGCAATCACATGGAATGCAATAACCAGCCTTGCAAAGACTAATATACACACCTTGGAAGCAAAGATGTCAGAAAAAACAATGTTATTAGAAGACATCCTTTTAAAAGCCAAGAATCTGAATTGAAGTCCAGTATGTATCCGACAGCCCACATGGTAATCACAGAAAGCATCAGCAGCAGGAAGAGCTATTAAGAGATTCAGAATTTTAGAACCTTATGGATTTTACCTCCTAAGTATCTAATAATGATTAGTACCACAGAAGAACTACTTCCTGAATATGTAACCATTAATACAACAGCAGAACACAGTTTTTCTTCAGAATTGCTGATTGACAGATTTGAAGTCTGAGAAAATTACCAATCTTGGAAACAATCCTTTAAAAATCTTAGCTTTTATAAAACAGTGCCTAAACATGTTTTCTTTTGCTTTCTTCTCCTCCAATAAATGGTGGTCTTTTAGAGAAGTGCTCATGAGAGCTGACATCCTCAAAAATAATGTCTTTTAAACAGTACTGTAAGTCAGAAAGCATAAAGCAAAACAAAGGGGCCACACAAAAATCAGGACAGCCAAGGCTCAATGTGGAGAGTGCAGGAGTTCCAGCCTGGACACCAGATGGTGCCATCCCCTCATAAAGGTCAGAGGGTACAAGCTGGCAGAAAAGATAATAGTTTGAGGCATGTGGAATTTCAGACACCTATGCGGAGGTAGCCAGGAGGCCATCAGAAAAGCAGGTCTACAACCCAGGAGTAAACTCTGTATTCATCAGTATATAGCCTGGAATGCCATGAGCCCATAACATCCCAAGGACTGTGTGCAGGTAGAAAGCGGCAGAATCTTAACCAAAACAAACACTGAAGGGGAGAAAAGCTAAGTTGTCAAAGGTAACAAAGAAAGTGCGACTGGTGTGACCACAAAGGCAGGATGAGAACACAGGAGAAAGGTCCCAGGACAGCCAAGGAAGGTTCAAGTTTCAAGAAACGAGTCATTCTCAGTTGTCAAATATCACACGGAGGCCAGAGATTGAAACACACCCTCAGGATGCTATTCATTCAGGTTTATGCCGGCAAAGAGAAAAGAATGGAAGGTCTATGAACCGACAGGGTGACCGCCTGCACTGAAGCCAGGCACCATGTTTCTGCAGAGCACTCCCTTAACTGCAATATACATGACCTTGGTAAGGCTTTTGCAACAACAAAGGGAGGAAATAAATACATTCTGTCCTATTTCCTTCTATCTTGACTCTCCTAAGTATTCTGAGGATGAATACTTGCAAATGCTATCAAATCCTTGAAGTCCTAAATCTACGGGTGCCTGGGAGGCTCAGTCACTTAAGTGTCTGACTCTTGGTTTCAACTCAGGTCATGATCTCACAGTTAATGAGTTTGAAAGCCCGGTGTCAGGCTCTATGCTGACAGTGCAGAGTCTGCTTGGAATTCTCTCTCTCCTCCTCTCTCTATGTACCCTCCCACCCCAGCTCATGCTGTCTCTGTCTCTCTCAAAATAAATAAATAAACTTTAAATAAATAAATAAATCCTAAATTTAATTTGCATGGTAATCAAATTTAGATTTTTTTTTAGAGGTAGTAAACTTGGAATCTATGAGCAACATAATCTCAGAACAGAAATAAGAATTAAATATGGATCTCAAATGTTTTTATCTCTTTTTTTTTTAAATTTGAGAGAGAGAGAGAGAGAGAGAAAGCAAGCACACAAACGGGGGGTGGGGGGGTCAGGGCAAAGGGAGAGAGAGAATCCCAAGCAGGCTCCATGCCCAACGCAGGGCTTGATCCCATGACCCTAGGATCATGACCTGAGCTGAAATCAAGAGTTGGACGATCAACCAACTAAGCTATCCAGGCACACCTGGATCTCAAATTGTAATCCCAGATATAACACTCATAAATGAGCCACACCATTTACTCACTGAATAAATATTGCACTGTATACTATATGCTGGGCACTGTTCTAGGCACTTGAGACACATCATGAATTTAAGGTCTTTCTCTCATGGAGCTAAGATTCTAACAGAAGATGACAGCCAATGCATTCAGTGATTTAACAGCATATAAACAGCTGGATCACACAGGGCCTCGTAAGTTGCTGAAAGGACTCGGGGTTTTATTCTAGGAGAAAGGGGGCCACATCACAGGATTCTGAGATGAATGACAGGATCTGACCTACATTTTAAAAGATTATCAGGGGGCACCTGAATGGCTTAGTCAGTTGAGCATCCAACTTCAGGTCAGGCTATGATCTCTCAGTTCATGAGTTCAAGCCCCACATCAGGGTCTCTGCTGTCCGCACAGAGCCCACTTCAGATCCTCTGTCTCCCTCTCTCTCTCTGGCCTTTCCCCTGCCTCAAAAATAAGTTTAAAAAAAAAAAGACTCACCTGGCTGCCCAACTGAGAATGGACTAGAAGTGAGTGGGAACAAGGGGACGCCAGACAACTGCTGCGTGAAAGATAATGGCAACTGGACCAAAATGCCGTTGGTGGAACAGACACAAGAGGTCAGATTCTGGATACATACTGAGGGCAAAATTAGCCAGTATGTTTTCCCAACGGACTGGATACATGGTATGACAGAGAAAAGACAAAAATGGCTGAACACGGGAGTTGCCACCTACTGAGAAGGGGAAAGGCTGTGGGTGGAGTCGTTGGGGCAGGGTGGGAAATCGGTCAGGAGTTCAGTTGTGGATACACTATGCTGGAGATACCTATTAGGCATTGAACTGGATAAGTCAAGTAGGTAATTTGATATAGGAGTCTGAAAAGATCTGGACTAGAGATAATTGTGGGAGCTGTCAACACATACATGGCATTTATAGTCACAGAAGTGCATGAAATCACCAAGGGATTGAATGGATAAACAAAGGTGTCCAAGAGCACAATCATGGGGCACCCCACCATCACGGGGTAGGGGAAGCAGAGGGGCTGGCAAAGGATACAGAGGAGTAACAATCATTTCTTCCTCTCTCCCTCTACATGCCTGAATGCAAAATAGGTGCCGTATTCGTAATGAGCTTCTGCACAGAAATCTGGGGTCTCTGAACTTAGCATCACTCTGAGAGTACAGTAATTACTAATCATCATTAGAAAAAAGGATGCCATCTTTCATATCTGAAAACATGAAACACAGAATCAATACCCCACTTTAACAATTTGAATTATGACTAATATGACACTAATAGGGCTAGATTTCTGTGAGAACAAGCTGAACTCCTGACTCGCCCTACCAGTTAACTGTTCGCTTCAGGAGAACATCACTCAGAAGAACTGCCAAGTTAAAGAATAAAATTGGGGTTCATCTCTTGAAATTCTAGGTGTTTTCATTTTGTGAAGTCTGCAACACTTATATCTAAAGTCTGACTCCTCATGATTCTAACCCAATGCTGAACGTTACTGTTTTCCTCTTGAAAAAGATTTTCAGTAAAAGCAAATTTTCCTCTTGCTTCTCGAAGAATCTTAACCATCTGTTTCAATTCATTTGTTAAATAAATGTGGACGTTTGCTATGATATTCACAAGATAACATGCAGCCTTAGAGCCACCTAGCTGAGGACCAACAGTAAATTGCCAGTGAACGTGCCACACTTCCAATCTGGGCTATGGGGCACATGGGACAGTTGTGACTGGCAGACATAATGCGGCACTAAGCCAACTCCCTGCTTTCGTCTGCTTTCCTCCCTGTTTTGCCTTAAAAACAGAAACACAAATGAATAAAAACAGTTCTTACAGCCCACAGAGCAGGACCCATTCGAAAATACCTCGCATTTCTGCAGCCACCTCCAAAGTCTGAACTTTTTGTTAGCTCTCATTTTGGCTTCTGTTTCTAGCATGTGAATAATGAGCTGATTTTTGTTTTGGAAAGCCAGATCAAGAGGTGTTTCACCCTTAAAAAAGAGAGAGAGAGAGAGAGAGAGAAAGTTCAATTATATTTTCGGTAGAGTATGAGTGCTAAACATTGTACAAGACATCAGCAGAATCAGAGACTCAGTGTCTTCATTCTGGAAGTAGTAACTTACTGTTGCTGGTTATTTACCTTGTGGTAATTGAAAATACACACGTAGCTTATGTTTACATCGATGTTCTAATTTTCTAACTGAAGATATAATAAACTAAGGGAGATAAATACCTGGTCATACCTTAACATTTCGGATGTCCAGGCTAGAACCGGCTTCCAGAAGTTTATCTACAGCATTAATGTTTCCTGCTGCAACTGCCCAGTGGAGTGGAGTGTTTTGGTGTATTTTATCAACCGCACTGAGAGAAGGATTAAACTTTAAAAGAAATCCAGTCGGCTCTGGCCTGTCTCAAGACAATAAAATACCAAGGAGCATTAGAGAGATGAATGATCTTAAAAGGTAAATACAAATAATGAATCTTTTAAGCTAATATATAAATCGACCACTCAGTGAAGAATTTTGAAAACTGAGAAACTTCCTTGTGCAGAGTTCTATTCCAGGGGCTGATAGGCGAGCTGCACCTACACAAAAGACATGTTACGTGACAGTCGGCGATACAAATACTATAATTTCAACACCACTACATTGGAATAACTGCTTTTGTTTTTCAAACTTTTACTTTCATGCTGTTATTGTATTGCTTAACATTTTTTTAAATTGTGAATTTAACTTGGGCCAATGCTATGTTATTTACCTAATTAAACAAATATTATGTTTGAGGAGATAAACCAAAGTTGACTCTCCATGCTTCCTTTAACTGATTATTAAATAAAGCAGGCATAAATAATGTCCTAAAATATTTATTTATCTTAGAAACCTAGGGACTAAAAGGCAGAATTCAACAAAATATTTTTATTTTGCCATTAATACCTTCCCTTCCTTCAGGACTACTCAAAAGATTCTTTGAATAAAGCAGTTTTCTACTTTACTTATTCTATCAAATCTTTAAACACTATTATCTGACTTCAGAGCTGTCAGCGAAAAAGACAAAATGCTTTAACAAAATTCAACCCTCAGCTCCAGCACTCCATGAACAAACAGGAAATGGCATTGCTACAGTTGTGCCTTTATTAATTTGTGTTGTACTTAATTTCTGATTCTACTTTTACTTAGGACTTGTAGCCACTGTTTTAAAAATGCAAACTGAGAAATATGTCATGTTAACAAGAATATGCTATGGAATCTCTACCTGTTCTATAAGGAAATTTTTTCCTTATTAGCAGTTTTCAAATTGTTCCCCAAAGCTATGAGAAAATCAAAAATTTATTTCAGTGGTGTTTTTTTAACCACAACTACATTAAACGTTCAAATCACAGTCACAGGGTGGAAAATCTTAACTTTCTTCTTCAGGATGTAGTATATGCACAAAAAAGAAATTGTCAGAACCCAGAATCAGAATAAGGCAATTCAGTTAAACTTACTTACCCAAGAACTTTGTGAGCTGATAACATGAGAGGTGTCTGCCCGTTCAGATCTGTCATATTCACACTCTGTTCAAAAAAGACGAGTCAATCAGCCTAACTGTAAACACAGTCAAACTCTCTCTCTTCTCTTAATAGAAATATCTCTTTAATACATTCAACATTACCATTGAGTTTACAAGAAGGGTTCAAATATCATTTGAACAAAACAGTGTTCTGCTTCTCATCCAAAGGGTAAAAATCCATTGATTTCTATAAAATACTCTTAAAGGAAAAATCTGAATATATGGTTTAAAGTGCTGTCTGATGTGAATGGAAGAAAGCTAAGGGAAAGAGGAAAATGCTGATAATCACCATCAGATACAAGAGACTGTAGAGGCCTTAGGAGTCATCTAGTTTAGACCTTAACAGACACAGTAATGCAAATTAGCATGTCTTACAAAAAGCCACCCAGTCTCCATGTAAACACAGCAACAGTGAAATCTCTATCTTTTCTGAGGCAACTCACTGTAATTTTGGACTTATGTTTCAAAGACTAAAACATGAAAAATTATTTTCTGTTTTCTATAATGTAGAGTGAAAAACAGGAAACCATATCTCCATGAGGTTATGCTCCTTTTAATAAAATGGGTCTGGGTTTGAGATGCACAATAATGGTTCCAACCAAGTCAAAGAAAGAGTTTCAGTTACTGAAGTGTCTTTTGGGCCTTGGAGGAATACGACTTGGGAAAGAGCCCAAACAGAAGCAAACAGGGCTCCTCCTCATACATCTTCCCAAACTGAGAGCCAGGAGGTTATAATTATTCTACTTCAGTTGGCTAAGTCTGAGAGAAAGTGCTTATTTAAAAAGAACACAATCATTCCAACAGCATTTGTGCAAACGTGTTTCCACGCCTGTTACAGGCGAGTCTCCGAATATAAACCACTCTGCTCCCCAAAAGTATATCCCAGGCAAGTACAGCTGACACGGAAACTCCCACTGCCAATACCCTATAATTTAACCTGTGACATAAATGGATGCCTCTGAAGGCAAGTCATTTTTCATGGAATCACTTTACAGAACAATAAGAAGCACACATTCAAATTGGTCTCCCATTTGGACTCAAATAAAGAAAGCAAATGATGGGTTAATTTAGTGATTTGACTACCATTTTTACATTCAACCAGAAGAAAAATACAGGCTTTTGAAGTCATGTTTTTGAAAAACTCTACAAATTACTGGGATCATAACAAAATCTATTATAAGCTTACAAGTTTCAAAAACATCTATTATATGTTACTGAGCTAAATGACCTGTCCTTTTGGCTCCAACAATGCTGGAAAAGCAGTATTCAGTAGCTAGACTTATTGAGGCTAATATTTGAATATTTGATATCTATAACATATGCTCTGAAATTATGGACAGACTACTACTAACCATTTTCCCAATCTCTTCAGATTCACAGTCGCTGGAGTGTAAGATATGTTTCAAAACATACCTGTCCCTTTGAGATGAGATATGCTATAATAGGCATGTGTTGAAATAATACTGCCAGGTGGATACTGCTGAATCCCTCCCCATCAATGAGGGTGGGGTCTGCTCCATACTGTAGTAATAATATGACCATAGGCAAATGTCCTTGTCTGTAAATAGAGAATAAAAATTACACTGCTTTCTATAGCATGCAGAAAAAGAAAAAAATTCAGGAAGAAACTGATAACCCTAAGCCATGAGAGATTTTGGGGGTGCTTGGGTGGCTCGGTTGGTTAAGTGTCCGACCTTAGCTCAGGTCATGATCTTGTGGTTCGTGGGTTCAAGACCTGCATCCGGCTCTGTGCTGTCAGCTCGGACCCTGGAGCCTGCTTCTGATTCTGTCTGTCTCTGTCTCTGTCTCTCCCTCTGCCCCTCCCCTTCTAGTGCGCGCACGCGCACATACACACACTCACTCTCTCTCTCTCAAAAATAAAGAAATACTAAAAAAAACCTTTAAGACATGAGAGATTTTGATTCAATACAAAGAGTATTTACTAACAGACTATTAAAACAGTGGAGGTTGTCCAAATGTATTTCACTTTAACGCTCCAAACTTAGAGCTATCTGGACAGTCCTTCTTGAATGCAGGTAATACACTTAATAACCTCCAAATCTATTATAAACCATATGTTGCTACAACATATAAATACATGTAATAATAATTATTACACATGACTAATGCTAAAAATTAAAACTTAAAAAATTTTTCATGTTTATTTATTTTTGAGAGAAGACAGAGACAGTGCGAGCAGGGGAGGGGAGAGAGAAAGGGGGAGACACGGAATACAAAGCAGGCTCCCGGCTCCAAGCTGTCAGCACAAAGCACAATGCAGGGCTCGAATTCACAAACTGTGAGATCAGGGCCTGAGTTGAAGTCAGACACTTAACTTAGCCACCCAGGCACCCCTGAAAATGAAAACTTTAAAACCACGTACATTTCAATGTTGTTATTTTAAAAACAAGAAATAATTATGAGCCAGACAGATATGCTGAAGTCTAACATTCGGACTGCAGGTAAGCTATGATAACATCCTTCTTAGGAACTACAGACTTTTACATTTGAATACAGCTCATTTTCCATGTAAAGCATTGTACCTCACTTGCTCAAAAGGGATGAGTTAATTAACCTTAGATTCTTCAAAATTCTTCCTATGGAAAAAAGATTCCACTCCTTTCTTATATAAACAACGACTCATTTTAATTTTGGGTTCATGTCAACCCCACCAACTAGAGACTGGGATTAAAATGATGGATGAAGAGGGGAGCTTGGGTGGCTCAGTGGGTAAGCATCAGACTCTTATTTCAGCTCAGGTCATGATCTTGTGTTTTGTGAGTTCAGACACTGTATGGGGCTCAGAGCTGTCAGCGCCCAGCCTGCTTGGTATTCAATCTCTCTCCCTGCCCCTCCCTTGTGCGCGCTCTCGCTCTCTCTCTGTCTCTCAATAAATAAAACTTTAAAAAGAAATGACAGATGAAGAAATTGTTAAGTATCAACACAAGCACATATTAATTTCAGTTTCAAATGCCAATATATTCCAGAGAAAAGAACTAAGTTTACAGTTCACGGAACTATCACTTTATCCATGTGATCAGCTACAAAAGATACTTATTTTGATTATAAGAAAGTATAATACATATACATATAATACATATACTGAAATAAAACATATTTCAGTTTTAGCATCATAGTGGGACCCTAAATTGAACACAAAAACATTGTCCCAAAACTATATATATAAATATATATGTATATATATTTTATGAAAGGGAAAAAAGGGATAGAAAGCCTTTCTTATGGTCTATAACAGCAGTTTTCCAATGTGGTAGTTACTAGCCACATGTGGCTATTTAAATTCAAACTCATTAAAATTAAATAAAATTAAAAATTTATTTCCTTAGTTGCATTAGCCACATTTCACATTTCACATGTGGCTAGTAGCCACAATATTGGATAGCACAAAATAGAACATTGCCATCATTGTAGAAAATTCTGCCAGAAAGTTCTGTCTACAAGATTCAGAAAATGAACTTTAAGTCATTCTGACTCTGAATAGCAATTTCAGTGCTCAAAGGAATCTTTACCTGATGGCCCAGTGAAGAGGAGTCGAATTTAAATCTCCACCCAACTGATCTACTACAGCACCTTTTGAAATATAAAACCTATTAAAAGCAGACATAAATGAAAATAAGATTGAAAGCTTAAAATTCATACTGAGAAAGAAAACATTAATTTTTCTTAGTTATAAATATACAACAGAAATTATAATAATAACCGTCCCTAAAAACACTCAGACCTACAGAAGTCTGAGATTCACACAATGGCATCAAACAGATCCCTGGGGAAATATTCTTAGCATACCAGTAATTACTCCTGGTGTCATGAGCTTTCCATCATAACTTACATACCAAACACATGATAACTACTCTCCATATATTCTAATTATCCAGCACTCTTAAAATGGTTTCTTTCAAAACACTTAGGATCACACAGATATTCTACTTAACCTGCAAGAAGAAAGGTAGAATTATGTCACTGTTAACAGTTGCGAATTAGAATTACTATGTGGGAATGAATTCTAAAAGTAAGTAGTAAAAACTTAATTCAAAATCCTTTTAGAAAAGTTAGACATTCTGAGTATTCGGCTTCCTGTTGCAGGGTCACAGATGTGATATACTGTATCAAGTGAACTTATAAGATAAAGAGACTCCTCTGCTGTGGTTAATAGGAAGTGGTCTCATTATGCTAAAGTTGTACTTCATATATCATATTATTTAAATAATATACTAGTTTATTTCCACACAAAAGGTGTTTGCCGGGAATAAAGTGTGGGGTTTTTTAAAGTATATTTTAAACTTCAGTACATTTTTATTTTCTTAAATCCCAAGGGTTTTAAATATAAATAATACAAAATGAATACACATTCATAAACATACATATAATTTACATGTTACGGTATAAAACAAGCAAACAAACAAAAACAATAGGGCAGTAGTGCTTTATGAAGGGGAAATATTTTATGTAATCCAATACATGTCTATTTAAAAATGTATTCCATATTTAATCTAAAAAATAGTTAATAAATCATTCTCCTACTGATTTATTCCTCCTGGGATTTTTACAAAGTAAAATAGTTCCATGTTTTTTCTAAACTAGATGAAACTTTCTGTTCTATCCTGAGACGGTTTGCCTTTTCAAAAAATGTTCAGGGCACCTGGCTGGCTCAGTCAGTAAAGCATGCAACTCTTGATCTTGGGATTTTGAGTTCAAGGCCCACGTTGGGCCTAGAGGTTACTTAAAAAAGAAAAAACACAAACAAACAAAAGTATTCAATTTCATTGCCTGAACTTTATCTTTACAATGGTTTCCCATGGCTTTATCTTTAATTTTCCTTTTTGGGCCAGTGAGAGTCCTGAGATAGCTGACCAATAAGGCCCTTTTCAACACTGTAATAACTGATGTGTACAGCACAAAATTTCAGGTATTCATTTACAATAAAAGAGTGCAGACGGTACACCATTCATACTTGTACTGAAAGGAAAAGACATATTAAAAGGTCTAGAATAGAAAATACACACTTAATAACACATGCATAGCCCCTCTTACTTTACAAGATCCAGCCTGTTGTTAATAGCAGCCCAGTGAAGAAGCGACACATTTTCTTTGTCTGGTTGCCTGACATCATATCCTGCTTCTACCAACTCTTTACAACGTTCAAAAATCCCATACCTGAAATAAGAAAAACAAAGGCAGAATTGATACCATTAAAGTAATTTCAAATACCAAAATGTATTCCTTTTACCATGCCTTTATCTAATCTTTCAGCCAACACAGATACAATAATTAAGGATAAACACAAAGTGGACATATTGTTAAGCCAAACAATAAAAGTGAACTTTACTTACTAACTCATTAGATGGATCCATGTGGAGCTGAACTTGATTTTCTTAACTAAACTTCAACATTCACATTTGTCCTCCCTTCAATAAATTTCATTTTATCATTTCCTATATGCCAGGAATGTATGATGCTCATCCCTGGGTATAATCTTATCCCTGAATAAGGGAGAGAGACTAACAGCAAACTTGGAATGGGATAAATTCAACAATAAGATGTGGACATAATTATAGCAAAGAAAGGAATGATTAGCCCTTCCTGAAGGAGATGAAGCATGATATATGAATTGTTTTATAGGTTGAAGGAAGGGTATTTTAGGAAGAGAAAATAGCATGCACACAAACCAGAGACGTGAAAGTGCCTGGGTGTTCAGAGAAATATAAGCAATTTAGAACATCAGAAACATAAAGCATTAAAAAAGGGAATGACATGAGATGAGGCTGGAAGAGACAGGCAAAGGCCACATGGGCCTTCAGTACCATGTTATGCAGTTTAAGACGTCATAGTTTAAAGGGAAGCCACTGAAGATTTTAAAGAGAAAAGCATACACACTTTGAGTTTTAAGAAAGATCCCATATGTGGTGGTATGGAGGCTAGGTGACTTGTACATAAAAATACGGAGAGGTAATGAGAACCTAAACTAAGAGAGGCAATAAGAATGAAAAAGGAGGAATGGACTTGAGGGATATTTAGGAGGGTTATTTAAATAACTATCAGAATAAGAAGTATCTCTTTTTAATACTATAAAAATTTTTTAAATCATTTGTTAGCTTTGTTTCTTTCTGATAGAAACTACTAAGTCCCCAACAGATCAGTTAGCACTTTCTTTGACATTTATTTCTTTTTTTTAATGTGTTTTTTTTTTAAGTTTATTTGAGAGAGAGAGAGAGCACACATGCTCACACGTGCATGCGTGCGCGAGCTGGAGAGGAGCAGACAGGAAGGGAGAGACAGAGAATCCCAAGCAGGCTCCATACTGTCAGCACAGAGCCCAACATGGGGCTCGAAGCCACAAACCGTGAGATTATGATTGAGCCAGAATCAAGTCAGATGCTTAACTGACTGAGTCACCCAGGCGCCCCGAGACTTATTTCTATTTAGAGGGAGCCAAATGTTTCAATAGGCCCTCAAGGATGAAAATCACAATGTCAAACTAAATAATGTATACCTCACGAAAATGCATGTGCTTATCAGGCTGTCTTTATGGCACTTTTTAAAAGAGAGAGATACTTTCTGACAAAGCTAAGTGAAAATAGTAATAAGAGAGTGAACTGTTGATAAAGATACTTACATTTATATTCTCCATGTTTTAAATGTCAGCTTTAACATTTTACTGAAAAAGAAATACTCCCTTTATGTGAGAAATATAGTAAGAAGACACACTAATTAAGATTTTGGTGATTTACAGAACATACGTATCCTAGCTCTCTCTTGTCCTTTCCAAATACTACCTAATGATAATCCCACAACCACTTAAGGAGGTCCAATGACCTCAGGGAAATTTTAGGAAAGATGTAAACTGTGAGTTTTTACTGGAATTCCCTGTGAACATAGCCTAATTTCTTACATTTATCATAACAGAGCTCTACTGGCAGCAGAGAAACATTTAAATGCTTCTGTGCTAATTAAAGCAAATATTTACCTTAAGACTCTCACCTTCATATAAATATAATAATATAAATAATATTAAATAATACTCGCCTAAAGGAGCAATTCCAAGGGTTTCTTGAGTTCATATAAATTAGTAATTAGAATACTCAAATAATTGTTGATTACTTATTTTATTTTTTAACATTTATTTATTTTTGAGAGACAGAGCACAAGCAGGGGGAGGTGCAGAGAGAAAGGGAGACACAGAATCCGAAGCAGGCTCCAAGCTCTGAGCTGTAGCACAGAACCCAATGCAGGGCTCAAACTCACGAACTTCAAGATCATGACCTGAGCCAAAGTCAGACAATTAACCAACTGAGGCATCCAGGCACCCCAAGTTGATTATTTTTTAACATAATTAATAGACTAGTTTTTGTTAAGGCCTAACTGGCTAATTAGTCACCAAACATCTTTGCTTTTGACAGAAATTATATCAAGTTCATGTGGCAACATTAGTTTCCTTACATGCTGATTAGAAGCTCTGATGGGCAGATTTATATTTGATTATTAAGAAAATGACTACTAATTAATGTAGTCTAAAAGATAAAATATTTCAAAACATGTTCAATGGCAAGAGGTGGGGTGGATGTTAATAATCAGTGAAATCCATGAGGGGGGAAAATGTTAGAAATGATTTCATGCAAATACCCACATACGGAGATCTTAAGGGGAAACTTTCAAAACATACTTTCATTTACAGTGCAAGCAAATAACCCACTATATGTTTTAAGTGGTCAGAAAACCTATTTCTACGTTACTGACATTTTTCCTGGGCACCCTGTACAATGGGCACATAGAAAGTATTTGAGGGGTGCCTCAGTGGCTCAGTCGGTTAAGCATCCAACTCTTGATTTCAGCTCAGGTCATGATCTCCAACTTTATGAGATTGAGACCCACATCAGGGTCTGTGCTGACAGCGTGGAGACTGCTTAGAATTCTCTCCACCCCTGCCACCTCTCCCCCTACTGTGCTCTCTCTCTCTCTTTCTCTGAAAATAAACAAACAACAACAACAAAAAAGTACTTGATAAATAATTGTTTAAAATGTCCATAAGTGTGTGAGCTGATATTTTTCTATCCCATTGATCTATTTAGGTCATAGTACATTTTTAAAAACTCAGATTTGTGTTTCAAACTCAGAGTCTAGATTTAGTGTCATTTATAATTATTAATTCACTCAACTCAGCACCTAATACAAGATAAGAAGTATGCAGAAGCACTGGGGCGATGAGGATGAAAACGACACGCTTTTGCTAATAAGCTGCTTATGATCTAATGGCAGAGACTGGTAATAAACTGCTAAACTGCACTGTATGAAGCGCTCTGACATTGACAGGACAAACATACCAGTCGCTAGAGTGTGAGGTGAGGAAGGAATACACTGGGGTGCCATAAACTGCACAAATATTATCACGATTCACCGCAACACAGGATAGGGTGAAGCACTGGGGAGACTTACTGGGTAGCTTTTACAATGTCACAGTTACGAGAGTCCTCTATAAGAGGAAGGGCTTCTCTCGCCTTGGCAAGGTCTTTGCTTTCATATGCACACACTCCATGTCGACCAAATCCTGGAGGGTGGGGGCCATGGCTGTGATTCCTGCACTGGAACATAAGAGTAATTTGACAAAGCACAGGGGGAGAATTAATGTCACGTTCAATTACATACGAAACCATCTGCTACCATCAACATGATCTATATTATCAAATTATAGAGTTTCTTTGAGTCTTACAGGTATAGCTTAGGGAAGATTTTCATCTTAATTCTATTCACTGAGATGAGTTATCAGAAAATTCCCAATTATATGTTTTGTCATTAAATAAAAGTCATCTCTAAGGGCACCAGCGGACCTTCTTACCTGTAGTAGGTGGAGGGTTACAGCTATTGACACATAGGAAGGTCGCCAGCTCTCTGCTTAGGGAGTTGTGGCAGCCACGCCCTAAGGATACACCCTCATCTCCCAATAAAACAAGTTCTTGAATAGGTATTAACTGGGGTCTTGGGGGAAGAGGAGAAAGTATTTTTTTAAATCTTTGACTAAATAATACCTCAAAATCTTCCAAGTTTGGTGAAACCATAAACCCACAACTCTAAAAGCTCAACAAACCCAAGTAGGATAAACCTCAAAACTGTACACAAAGGTATATTATAATCAAATCACCAAAAACCAATGTCAAGGAGATAATCTTAAGAGCAGCCTAAGGAAAAAGACACATTGTGTTCAAAAAAATCAAAAACACAAATGAATTCAGACCTCTTATCAGTAAGAGCAAGCCAAAACGCAAACACAACAGTTTTCAAGAGCTGAATGAATTACAAATCTGAAGCAACAGCAAAACTGTTCTTCAAAAATGGGGGTGAAATACATACTTTTTCAGACAAGCAAAAGATGAGAAAATTGCCAGTAAACTTATATTCTAAGAAATGATAAAGGAAGTTCTTCAGGCTTAAACGAAAAAATTCCAGATGGCAATCTGAATCAATACAAAGGAACAGAATGCCAGACTACATGGGTAAATATGTATAATTATGTGGGTAAGCATAACAGATTTTTTCTCATTTTTTAATTTCTTGATGATAGTAGTGAAACGGAAGTATCCTTATAAGTATACTTGTAAAAGATGTTACAATAGTTATAAGAGATACTACAGTAGTATTTATAGGTAGGCAGTGATAACTTAAAGTGTATAATGCTAACTAAAGAGCAACCTTTAAATGAAGAGGTCTAAGTAGTAAGCCAAGAGCAGAGATAAAATAAAATATGTAAAAGCCACGAAATTAATATCTTAAAAAGGCAAGAAAAGTAGAAAAAAATGAATAAAAAACAGAGAAGAAAAAGAAAAATGTACAAGATGATATATTTACACTTAACCACCATATTGATAATCATGTTAAGTGCAAATGGTCTAAAAAACAAAAAGACAGATTGTTAGATTGGATTAAAAAAAAATTTTTAATGTTTATTTATTTATTTCTGAGAGACAACATGAGCAGGGGAGGGTCAGGGAGAGAGGGAGACATAGAATCTGAAACAGGCTCCAGGCTTTGAGCTAGCTGTCAGCACAGAGCCTGACGCGGGGCTCAAACCCACAAACCGTGAGATCATGATCTGAGCCAAAGTCGGATGCCTAACTGACTGAGCCACCCAGGCGACCCCTAGATTAGATTTTAAAATACTACAACTACAAGCTGTCTACAAGAAAACTGCTTTAAATATAAAAATATACATAGGTTAAAAGTAAAACAACAGAAAAAGACATGCTATGCAGAAACATTAAGCATAGGGAATGTAGCAGCTATATTTATATAAGACAAAGTAGACATCAGCACAAGAAATATCAGAGATTAGGAGGGACATTTCATAATACTGAAGAAAGAAGCCAATTCATCAAGAACATAACAATCCCAAATGTCTGTGCACCTATAAAAAACTTTCAAATTCATGAAGCAAAAACTGATGGAACTGAAAAACAAATAGAAATTTTCACAATTACATTTGGATATTTCAATACTTCTTTCAATAACTATGAAGGAGTAAACAGAAAATCCTATTGGATAGAGAAAAGGATAGAGAAGACTTAGCGCTATCCACCAACTTGATCCAATACATTTTCATAAAGCTCCACCCAACAATAGAACAGATTTTTTTTCAAGTGCACATAGAAAACCAAGACAGACAATATATTGAGCCATAAAACATGTCTCAACAAAGTTAATGGACTGAACACATACAGAAATATGTTCTTACTACAATAGAATTAAAATAGAAAACAATAACCAAAGGGTATGTGGAAAATTCTCAAATATTTGGAAACTGAACACCACATTTCTAAATAAACTATAGCTCACAGAAGAAAACAAAGAATAACTGGAAAATATTTTGAACTGAATGGAAAACAAAACAGCAAAACGTGTAGGATGCAGCCTGAGCAGTGTTCAGAGTGAATTTTTAGCTTTAAATGCCAAACAGGCAAAAAGAGTCTAAAATAAATGATTTAAGCTTTCACCTTAAGAATCTAGAGGAAAAAAATTAAATTCAAAGTAGACAGAATGAAGAAAACAGTAAAGGTAGAAGAAATCCACAAAATATGGAAAACAATATAGAAAATCACGCAAAACAAAAACTCATTCTTTCGAAGGAATAAATTTTAAAAAATAATAAACCTCTAGTCAAATGGATCCATAAAAAAGAAGATGTCAGTGACAAATAGGCTTAAAAAGGAGGCATCAATAGAAGATTCTATGAACATTAAAAAGGTAATAAGGCAGGGCTCAGTCAGTTAAGCATTCAACTTCAGCTCAGGTCATGATCTCCTAGTTTGTGAGTTCGAGCCCCACATCCAACTCTGTGCTGACAGCTCAGAGCCTGGAGCCTGCTTCAAATTCTGTGCCCCCCACCCCCGCCCCTTCCCCCACTCACATTCTGTCTCTCTCTCTCTCTTAAAAATAAACATTAAAAAAATTAAAAAGACAATAAGACAATACTGAGAACATCTTTATGTCAATAAATTCAACAACCTACATGGAATGTACAAATACCTCAAAAGACAGAAGTTATCAAAATGGGCTTAAAAAGAAATGAGCAGCACTCTAGCTATTAAAAAAATTGAATTCATAATTTTAAAACTTCCCATTAGGGGTGCCTAGGTGGCTCAGGTGGTTGAGAGCCCAACTCTTGATTCCAACTCAGGTCATGACCCAGAGTCACGGGATCAAGTCCCTCATCTAGCTCAACGCTGAACACAGACCCTGCTTAAGATTCTCTCTCATTCTCTCTGTCTCTCTGTCTCTCTCCTTCTGCCCCTCTTCCCCGCTTGCATGCACAGACGCACATGCTCTCTCTTGCTCCCTAAAAATCAATCAATCAATCTTCCCATTAAAAAAAAAAAACAAAACCCAGGTCCATATCACTTCTAACTGGTGAACTCTATCAAAATACTTAAGGAAGAAATGATACCAACTCCTTCAGAAATGACAGGGAATTCTTCTCAGCTCATTTTTGGAAGCAGCATTACCCTGATACTAAAATCAAGAGACATTATAAGTAAAAAACAAAATAAAATAAAAAAACAAAACAAAAAAATAACTACAGACTCAATACCCTTCATAAGCATAGATGCAAAGACCTTTAAACAAGACATTAGGCAAAGTGTACCCAGTAACACTATGTAAAAAGAGTAATATATATTATGGCCAAGCTTAAACATTTTAAAACAAATCAATGTGACTTACCACATTAAGAGAATAAAGGAAAAAAATACATTCATTTCAGGAGAATAAAGCAGTTGACAAAATTCAACACCCACGCATGATAAAAACTCTTGGATAAAAATTCCTGGCACACTAGGGGAAGAACGGAACTTTCTTAACCTGATAACGAGGTACAGGATAAGAAATCTACAGCTACCACACACTTTGTGGTAAAAGACTGCATGTTTAACTCTAAAGACTGAAAACAAAGCAAGGATGTCCACTATCACCACTTTTTTTTTTTTTTAAGTAGGCTCTACACCCAATACGAGGCTTGAACTCACAACCCCAAGATCAAGAGTTGCTTGCTCCACCAATGGAGCCAGCCAGGCACCCCATTTCTAATCAACACTGTACTGAAGTCCTAGACAGAATAATAAAGGAAAAGAAATAAAATGCATACAGATTAGAAAAGAAACAAGTCCATCTTTATCTGCAGACAACATGATCATGTACATAGGAGATCTAAGGAATCTTTATAAAATTTACAGTAGCATCAAAAATATAAAATACTTAAGACGATTTTATACCATTTCCAGCATTTTCAGTTACATTAAAGGGGGAAGTTCACATCAAATGTCTAGCACACCATTCCCAGCAATTGAAACTGGCTATTTCATCATTCCTTCTTGTTCTTTACCATAAGGTTACCCAGCCTTCACCCACCTTATTCATGAGACCTAGCTCTCTGAACAGCCTTTCACTGTTTACAGACATCCCCCTCCAAAAAAAAACAAAAAACAAAACAAAACAAAAACATTCTGAAAGGATAAATACACATTAAGAACAGAAAAATTGAAGATATTTGAAATAATATGCCTGAGTCAATTCTCCAACAGTTCCAAAAAAGGCTTAATTGAGAAATGATAGTTTTACTGAAATAAGTCTATAACCCCTCAACAGGTTTACTAAAAGAGCAAATAGCCTTTTCTTTTTTTAAGTTAACTTACAATAAATTTGACTTCTTGGTATGTAGTTCTATGAATTCTAACAGATTACATATAGTGTTGTGTAACCACCACCAAAATCAAGATACAATCCAGTTCCAACATCTCAAAAAACTCCACCGGGATATTCCTTTGTTGTCATACCCCACCCCAAATCTCAACTCCTGGCAATTGCCGATATGTTCTTCATCACTAGTTTCATATTTCCCAGAATGTCATATGGAATTATACAGTATATACTCTTCTGAGACTGGCTGCTTTCATTTAACATAATAGTTTTAAGACTCATCCAAGTGGCTTTCTGTTATGAAGAGTTCTTTCCTTGCCGTATAGTATTCAATTATATGAATATATCACAGTTTATCCCTTCAAACAACCCATGTGAGTTGTTTCCAGCTTTTGGCGAT